ATCCAAATTAAATTAAATAATTAATCTTGGTTGGTTTTAAGAGGAAACATCTTGATTAAAGATCTAAACACTTGGCATGTTACACGAATTACAAGACTAAATCTGTCGTCGAATATCTTAAACACCGGAATCAAAATTAATAATGTTATAATCAAGAAGATGCTATTTTGCCAAATTGGAATTTCTCGTGTTGCAAGAAAAAACATATGACTCTTTTGGTAACATTATAACTTTTTCTTTTGATCGAAACTCACTTAATAATTATTTATACTACTTGGAGAGTTGGATTATATTATTATAGTTACTAAACTATACGTATTAATAATATTATATTATGCTCCATAATCGAAGAAGGTAGGATGAAGTCCAAGAAAGAACACCAAGAGAATGTCTTATTGAGATTAATGAAACTTATTAGTAATTAATGTACGATGTTCTGCACAAGAATAATTGGCAGTGAAATATGCTAGTTAATTATCTACAATTTGCGTATCTTATCTACCGTTAATTCAATTAGCATACTAAAATATATACACTATATATCCAGATAATTCGATGTGGTCTAAATTTTTTTCTAGATTTGTCTATTTTTTTGTTTTTACACTTTTAAGGTTCGATTATAACAAAAATAAGATACGAAGTAAGGGTTTGTTCTCATACGTTTATTTTCAGTTCAGTTCAATTCAGTTCAGCTCTTAATTTCCTTCTCTTATAAAATATTTAGTTCAGTACGTTCAGTTCAGCTGATTTCAGTCAATGAGAATAGGCTTAGTGGTTGAGTGTATTTAATTTACCTTTAAGTGTGTCATAATACTACAAACTTTATGTGATTACATTGATAAGTGATAGAAAATTTCTTTCTTTAATCCTTATCAATGGATATTATTGTTGGTTCTAAAAAAGGATATTTGCTTTTCAGATCAATCCGATCTATATCAACCAATGGTTTTGAAAGATAGGCTATCACACTCTGTTCTTAGAGGCTAGCATATATTCTTTCCTTTAAAAACATATTATTGGGGGTTCAATTATGTTCTTGCTTTGTTTAATTCTTTGGTCTACTGGAAAGAGTTGTACCTTCCAATATTGAAGTTGAGGGGAGGGGGGGGGGGAGAGCAATTTGGAATGGGGATTCCCTTACCCATGCATCCCTCTCACTCCTAACTAGCATCAGGAGGACCTGTGAGAGGTTTCTGCCTGGTAGACCCCTTCTCCTTACAAAAAAAAAAAAAAAGAATTACATACACTCTTAGTCTTAAAATAAATGTCCCAAATTAATTTGATATTCACTCTATTCACATACATGCTGACCATCACTATTGTTTTATACGGAGTATATACTTAAAATTATACATAAGATCATGTTGATATTTGTTAGAAGTGTCTCATGGGATAGCTTCAAAATATCAACTATAAATTAAGATATTATTGATTAAAGTTATACGTTGACAAATGTGTAAATTAAAGTAAACCATTTATTTTAAAAGGAGAGAATATGTATGATATACCACGTATAAAGTCGTACATACTTTGTATTATTTATTACTCATAAGTTCAAAGGTAAAGCTCATGAGTATGAGATTGAGTCTTTGACTCTTAATTTCTTATAACCTTTAACATAATAACCAATAATTTCTTCCTGGGTGAAATCATCATAGGTCATGACCCATCATTCTCAAGAATCTGAAGAATACTAGTGGTCTGGGTTAAGGCAATTTGGTTAAAAAAAAGTGAAACACAAAGTCTTAATAGAAATAGATGATAACAGAATTTGGTCACATGGATTCTCCTGCCACTGCTCAATACTACACTCATCCAAAAAAAGTACTGTTAAACCAACCTGGACTTATTATATTTGCTCACAACTTACAACATGCATCTTTCTCATATCTTAGCCTTGGATTCATAATCTGATTTTATTCATCTTTTTACTTTTCCTCTTCTCCCTTTTCTTTTCCCATACATTTAGGAAAGCATTTCCTTAACTTATTGATATCACATTAATCCAAAAGTGATGTAATCTGATTATAAAAACTAAGGAGAGCTTTTGCAAAGTTAGCCTAAAAGTTTAGATAGATAGATGGTTCTTTTGGGTTGTTTGAAGTCTGAACAAAGAGTACCTGCCAAAAACTCATGGATTTATCAGATAAAAGCCTTTCTTACAAAAATATTAGATCATTCACACAAGTATAATGCTCATTGTGCAACAAAAGAATATGAGTATGTCATAAAGTACACTCTATACAGTATGATATTATGATGAAAGAATATGTGCTACGTTTAAATTAACTCCATATATTAGTACTTGGAAAAAAAATAACAAAATCGTGCTCATGTATCGTAATGTCATGTTTTGTTTCATATACATGCACTTGCACTCTTTTGTTGCATAATGAACATTGTGCATTTGTGCTCATCATATATCCACAATCCAAACATTTTATAGTGAAATTATAGGCATTTAGTATTAAGCAAATACTCCGTACAAATTAAAAAAATATGTATGACATGATCTAGTTTGATTTGATCAGATCATTTTAAAACAAGCATATATTTACTTTAATAGGTTGAACTAAACATAGTCTTAATACTATATATAAGTTTAAATCTCTTTTGTTTTCATTTAATCTAAGATATGGTCAATAATTATTTTAACGATGACTACCATAGAATTTTTTTTACAGTTATTATTTTCTGATAGCTCTCAAAGTTCATGGCAGTCTTCACCATAATAATTCTCCTGGCTTTAAGTAACATGCACAAGAGTGTGAGATTTCATTACATTACTTTTGAATTAGATTTATTTTTATGTAAAGACATGGTTTTTGGTCAGTGTCACTTGGATCCATGGTTTCATTGATACCAGTATCAACCTTTATTTGTCCCTATCCAATCTGATGACATTGGAAGAGTGTATGTTTTTCTTTTCTTGTTTTCCCACTCAATTAGTATAATATTGACAAGACTTAAATATTCAAAATTAGTGATGATATGTTAAATTATAAAACCAATTATTCGTTTTGATATATGATTATAAAGTGGATAATAACTAATTTAATTTATCTTTGTTAGAAGAGCCTTTTTAGCTTATGATTAATGAAAAAGTGTACAGTCTTTATTCGTATACTTTGTATATGGGGAAAGAAACAGACGATTCCACGAAACACACTATTGGAGATTACAAATTTACAATACACAATAAAAGACAATAACAAAGATAAATGGGAAGAAAAAGATCGAGATGTCTTTTTGGGTACGAATAAAATTGAGTCCTTGCTTTTCTTGGTTCCTCACCGGTCACTACCGGTCCTCTTTCTAATAGATTGAACACATTTGAAATATTACCATATGAGTCAGCAATATTTTGCATGGACCATTTGCAAATTACTTGTAGATTGTATGAAAACGGATACGGCCACCACATAAGAAATTATATTAACAATATGCATTACTTTGACGAGCTAAGTTCAGCCTAGTAAAATCTTGGTAGTATTAGAGGTTCGATCAATCCCCACAAAATTTTACACTGAGGGTCTGTTTACTTCAGCTTAATTTTAGTTCAGTTCAGTTCAGCTTCTAATTTCCTTCTCTCATAAAATATTCATTTCAACTTATTTCAGTTCAGCTCAGTTCATTTCAGTAAATGTAAACAGGCCTTGAGAAGAGGATTATTGGCCCTAATGATGTTTATTCCTTGATAAGTTTCAATTATATACCAAAGCTTTGTTCATCTTATCAAGAAAAATAGTACTCGTATAGACGTACAGTTTTGATCTAGTTTAATTATTGGTTAAATATGAATATTTTTGGTATGACCTAATACATTGACACCCCTTGTCTAATTAGAACTCGGTTGTTTTACGAAGGAGTGACTTGGGCGAGTAGACACATAGTATGTTATAAACTAGAACTTTTTTGGCTCATCTTATCATCGTGCTAGTCTGCTAGACAAAAGTACTCACGCTTGTACCTATCAATCTCCATTCAAACTCAATGGAGTACCCCCAATTAATGAGAAATTTGAAGCCTTGTTGATGTTAAGAAGCCCTTACAAGATCGACGTATAATTAATGGGTTCGTGCTCCACAAGCCCAATGCAAACGACTTCCATCAAATGGTGCATAAATTTATCCTTGAACTACCACTTATTACGAATAGATGAAAGACAATAAACTTGAAAACAAATAAACATACTCACACTTGTTGGCAATAGGACCCGTTGACAATAGGAGAAATATTTCACTCAAATTATAAACTTGAAAAGTTTCCTCATGATTTAAAATGAAAATAAACATACTCACACTTGTACCTAAAAATTTAACTTTTCTTTCTACCTACACAGACAATTTCCATGGAGTTGTGCCAAGTTAGTTCTCCGGATACAATTTGTTTATCTGGGGTATAATCGTCTTTTTAAGTAGAAGTGGAGGGGTACATGCGTCTTTTCATGTACTAGTTCAAGGATACATGTGTAATTCCCTCACCAAACAGTAAATACAAGTTGCAAACACTAATTGGACAACTTACCAAAAGTACCGAATAAATTATCACGTCTTTTCAATATATTTACTAAAAAGATCTTGCTAACGAGCGCCCCGGGGTGTTAGATAAGGATAAATTATATTGGTTGAAATGGTATTAAGATAGGAATTCATGACAAAATGACGCGTCGTTCGGTGTAATTAATGTTAATTTTACTCTAATATTTGCATTTTAATTCTTTTATCTAACGTCGCGGGGGCGCTTATTAGCTTTTGCCTTACCAAAATGCCACCAAATTAACAAAAATTCATTTATCTGACGTATAAACTTGTATTTGGCCATTTTCATGGACCAAGGGTATCTTCCTTATAAACTCGATACACTGAATGAACTCAAATCTCCCACATAAACCTAAGCACACAAAAGACACATATAGTTAATAATCAACTTGTTGATTAAATCTCTCCAAAGTAGAACCCCCCCCCCCCCTCTTTAAAACTCCCTCAAACTCCCCCCCTTTAAAACTCCCTCAAACTTATAATTACTCCACTTACACAATCATCATCATAAATCCATTCAAATCGTTGTAAAATTGCGCACCTCCTCATTTTCCCCCACCTCTCTCTCTCTCACTCACTCTGAAAAAGCCTCACGTGCAAGAAGGCATAGCCTGTAGTTTTAAACAAACACTGTATTCCTGATTACTCACAGTAGTACTGTATCTCTTGGAACCTTCAACCATATATTTTCACCTTTTTTCTGTGTTTTCCCTTTATTTTTCTATTTTATGACACCCTTAATTGCTTATATAATAAAGCTGTCTACCCCCCAATAAAGCTACTCTCCTTATCCCTTTTTTCTTCCTCACATTTTTTGGTCTCTCTCCTTCAACTTCTTTTTATTATTTCTCTCTTAATCATCATTATTATCACCTAATTATGGCATTAGAAGCAGTGGTGTTCTTTCAAGACCCACTAATTAATAATAATCCCTGTTCTACTACTACTAATAATTTTGGTATCAACTTTGAGTTTTCCAATAATTATTTTTCTCATCATCCCTCTAAGTTTTTCGAAGATACTTTTAAACTACCTTTAAATGTTGGGTTATTTGATCTCGTCAATAATAATAATAATATTTACGACTTCAATAATAACATAAATACTATTACAACCCCTGATTTTATCATTCAAAATAATATCCTTCAATGGCAACAACAACAGCAACATCATCAGCAGTATGTTACTACAGCTGATTATTCTTCGCCGGAAGATCATTTGTATCAATCCGGCGAAGCCCCGGCGCCGTCTACAGCTGCCGAACCCCCTGTAAGTGGTGGGGTTCGGAGGAAGAGACGGCGGCGGAGTTGTAAAAACAAAGAGGAAGTGGAACACCAAAGGATGACTCACATTGCTGTGGAGCGAAATCGCCGGAAACAGATGAATGAGTATCTTGCTGTGATTAGGTCCTTGATGCCTCCTTCCTATGTTCAAAGGGTATGTATGTTCATTCATTTTTTTTTTTTTATTTTTTTTTTTTAATTTTTATCGATTACTCTATATTATACTTCCTTCATTTCAAATTAAGTTTAATTTTTGTTTTCAATGACTAGCCAACAGGAAATAAGATTTTAAATAAAAAAACAAATAGAGACAGAGCGAGTATATTTATGTTTTATACTAGTATAATAATATAGATTCATAATTATTTTTGTGTATATACTATCTCCGTTAATTTTTATTTGCAACTTTGAAATAGTTGTTTTTGAATTATAATGTGAACAATATTTTGTTACTCCGAGTAACTTTTTGAATGTAAAGTAACTAGATATTGTGGCATTTTAAATGTAAAGTAACTAGTCAACAGGAAATAAGATTTTAAATAAAAAAACAAATAGAGACAGAGCGAGTATATTTATGTTTTATACTAGTATAATAATGTAGATTCAAAATTATTTTTGTGTATATACTATCTCCGTTAATTTTTATTTGCAACTTTGAAATAGTTGTTTTTGAATTATAATGTGAACGATATTTTGTTACTCCGAGTAACTTTTTGAATGTAAAGTAACTAGATATTGTGGCATTTTAAATGTAAAGTAACTTTTTGATCTAAAGGAAATGATAAATTTTTTTTAAAGGGAGATCAAGCATCAATAGTTGGAGGAGCAATAAACTATGTGAAAGAGCTAGAGCAACTATTACAGTCAATGGAGGCACAAAAGACATCAAACAAACAACCCCGCTGTCACGACCACCACCAAAATCCAACGTCACCACCACCACAAGGCGGTGGCGACAACGAAAACAAAAATGTTGGTAGTCATAATAAGTTGGATTCTTGTACAGAACCAACACCATTTGCTGACTTCTTCAGCTTCCCACAATACTCAACTAGGTCAAAACCTAGCTCGCCCGGGTCAGGTTCCGGTTCCGGTTCAGGAAGTAGTGGCAACTCAGTGAGTTGTAGCAACTCAGGTGTGGGTGACATAGAGGTGACAATGGTGGAAAGCCATGCAAACGTGAAGATATTGGCAAAGAAAGAAGCAAAGCAACTAATAAAATTAATAGCAGGATTTCAGGGTCTTCGTTTAAATGTTCTTCATCTTAACGTCACTACTGTTGACTCTTTCGTCCTTTACTCTTTAAGCCTCAAGGTTTGTTTCTTCTATTATTTGCTTTGATTACTTATTTTTGATTTGTTGTGTTCTCTTCCTTGCCTTTTGTTGTTCCTGTTTTGACTTTATTGTTTGGTGAAATGATGATTTGGAAAAAGATTTTTTTTTTTTTTTTTAACTCTGTTTAAAAAAATGTCCTAATTTGTCTAGCAAAGCAAAACTTTCACCTACATCAATAATTATAAATGGTTAATAGTTCCCCTGCATCTCTAAATGTTTTTCCTATTTGACGGTGATTTTCTCACAGAAATATGAATTAAAAACAATGAATTGTAATTTATCTTACTATGGTAGGCATTCTTTAGAGACAAAGAGACAAAGAAAAGAGCTAAGAGATGTTGAACATTCCATTCAGCTAACAACACGTACTCTTAATAGAGGACTATGTAGCTTAGAGAGTACTTATTAAATTAGAGGTCGTATAAAAATTAGGGAGAAAATAAAATAGTGTAATTCCGCATTTATCGGTTATGATAGTTAAATTATTCGATATAATAAATAACAAAAGACATGTTTCACTAGCCAAATCTATACGACAAATAAAATGTATATAGAGGAACGTGTGTATTATTTATTTCATTATTTGCTCAATTATCTCATAGGATTACCTATAATTATTTTATGAGGTGTGTGTTTTCCTTTTTATAGTAAGCTTTTACCAAGTGTACGACCAATTGATTCCGAAGGAATTTTTAGCTGTACTTACGATGGCCGATGGGTGTGGTTAGGTTCACCGCGGAACATGCATTTGTGTACCTTTAGATGCTAGGGAAAATAACATGTGAACGTCTGACTAGCTGATTATATTAACGGCTTTGATCTTTGGTTACTTAGAAATTAAGTTGTTGCTTGTACGAGTTTTGTGTATAGTCTCCGCAATCACCATTACATTATTTAACCATAAATAACCAAGTCCACTCCCTCCTAGAGCCACCAAAATACCAAACTCAACACAATATTTACCTTATTAAGCCTTGTTATTTTGTTAATGTGTTAAAATATTGGGGAAAATAGTTCTATGTATTTTTCCATTGTATTTTCCCATCTTTCATATTCGATCACATTACAATATATATAGACAATAGTTAGGAATATCTAACCCTAATATTCTCATAATATCATATCACAATATATTCTTATCTCAATATAATGTCTTTTTATTTTCCATGATCAAGTTATAAGGGTTTTTATTTTCAATTGTGCATATATTTGTTCCATGATTAATTTATTTTATTTTTAAACTATAGTTAATTAAATATTATTTTTGTAAAATAGGTCGAGGAAGGATGCCAATTGAATTCAGTTGATGATATCGCGGCTGCTGCTAATCATATTCTTGGTCAAATCAAAGAGGAAGCTGTAGATCAGTCACTTTAATATGATTATGCATATAATTTAAGCTTTTAATAATCTGTATTAGTAGCGCTAATGACAGGCTAGGTAAGGGGGTTTTCAATTATTTAAAATCGTTGGCCCTTTATATTATCCACAATATTTTTTTTCCCATTAATAGCTCATTTTTTTCGCCATACCTCATCTTTTTACTGTAATACTGTTAAATTACCCCTTTTCCATGGTGGGGTAAAGCTTGATTTCAGAAGGCCTTTTTTGTGCATTATTGTTACTTCTTTCTTTATTTTTATTTTATTTTTTATACCAAGTAGGAGTATAATTTTAGTTTATTGTTGTATTGAGTTTTTGTACAAATCACAATTTTTTATTTTTTTTTAACAAAGTACAAATCACTTTTTTTTTTTATTTAACAAAGTACAAATCACTTTTTTTTTTATTTAACAAAGTACAAATCACATCTTCATATCGATTAACAAACATAGTTTGGTCTAGTAGTAAAGTTTGCATATCTCAACCTTGAGGTTATGAGATCAAAACCCATTAGAAACACACTGGGGTGGGGATCCCTTACCCTTACCCCCAACTCCCAAATTGCCTAGTCCGCTAACCCGGTTCAAAAAGACCTATGATAGGTTTTGGCTCAATAGAGCCATTTTCCTTACCAACCAAAAAAAAAAAAACATCTTCCTATCAATTACTTTTCGTTATTTATAGATAATGTTGAGAATCTTGTTGATTCAATTCGTCTTAATATATATTTTTAAAATACCAAACTTAAACTACAAGTATTTGTTAGAATTCCCTCGTTTATATGTATACTAATAAATTAATTCACATATTAATGCACAAGTTTAACCATAAATGTATGCTACTTTTTTGAATGGATATATGCTACTTCATATAAATAAATAAAAAATTTGATTTTTATGTACTAGTACTTCTTTAAAAATATAAGGTCAAAATTAATATGATTACATAAATAGTGTTAATGAAAATCAAACTGTCGCATATATTCAGAAACAGTATGTGTGTTTGATATTTCTAACTAAAAAAAAATATAGAAATACTTATGATGTTTTTGAAAAAACAGAAGGTTAAACTTCTAAAGGTTCAGGAGTTTTTGTGTCAAATGTCCAATCATAAAAAAAAAATTATAATTTTCAGGGCCAAAATATTCTGCAATTCATTCAGGTTTATTTGTCTCCATGTCTTTACCTGCTTGTAAGTGTCTACAAAGATACAGTTTAGTTGTTATATGTTAACAATGTCACAGATAGTACTTGAACAGTTATATAATCCATCAAATATAATTGCAATCGAAGTCACTTCCAATTATTGGACTTGTTAATAGTGTTTATGAGTTTGTGTATAGGAACAAACAATTGACAATGTTGCTTTCACACATTGAGCTTTACTTGACAATTTCAGCTAGTATAACTCAGAGATCAACAGGAAAGATCGATTTTATTTTTGTGTGTAAAGAGAACCGCAATAGATATTATGAGATGGATGACCCTTATAATTACAGCTTGAATAATATTGTCGTTGAAATTTTTAATTAATTAATCTAGTTGGCATTCACAAAAAAGAATGATATATTAGCCATAAACATTGGCTTTTCCTACAAGCTAAGTTTTGAGTATCATTCTACTCTCATAGTGTTTGGAATTAACAAGTCCAATAATTGTCTAGATTAATCAAAAATTAAGGGTTGGACCCATTGAGATTTTATGCTACAACAAAAAAGGGTTCATCTTTGGCCCGACAGTGCGGCTCTTTGTAACAATGTAACATGCATGAATTTCACGTCAACAAAATTGAAAAAGAATTTGACTAAGACATCTTTAGAATATTACTGTGGGACAATTAATTAATTTGTCGACAGTTGATTAACACAAACACAGTTAAATAATTACTCCCTCCGTCCCTAATACTTTGCGGTTATTAAGTGATAAACGAGTCTGGGTCACTCCCGTCACAAGTGTCCACTTTAAACGACCAAGGAGGTTCCACCTCAAAATCATATGGCAATGAGGGGAGTAACCCTTTAGCCTTATAAAGTGGACACGACTTTCTCCTTTATCCTTTCTTCAATGTGGGATACGCATCCCACTATTTCTCTTCACTTTTATACTCTTTCAATGTGGGAAATGTGGAACAACACTTTCACTCACATGTGGGTTTTCTCATGAGCTCAACATTAAGAAACTTAAATAAAAGAAATAAAAACATATTGGAAATATAAATTTACATGGGGTTTGTAATAAAATAGAGAGATGAAGTATTAAAAATTCATGAGAAAACAAAATTTTATATGAGAAAACTAATTTTGCACAAATACTGGTGTAAATTGGTGGGTATTTTTAATGCAAATGAGTCGATCATTTTGAGATTAAAATTAGGCTAAAAGGGTCGAAGTTTTGGGGATGGAGGGAGCACTAATTATTGCAAGTCAAATAAAAAAATAATTCATTTGGCGACGGTTGATTAGTAGATTGGGTTATAGTTTTGAAAGAATACTGACCTTACCTCTTGTGTGTTTTTTCATTTAAAAAAAATATAGACTATTGTCCAATTCACATTATTATATACTATATTAATTACTTGTAAAAAATATTTATAACAACAAAATATACATAGAACGTCAACACTTGCCCGGTTTCAGAGAATCTGATCTTGAGCTATGATCGATTCTCATAATCTACCCATGTGGCTCTCTAAATACGAAAAAAAAAACCATCAATCTACATGCACTAATATGTAATTAGAGATCAACTTTCTTGCAATTTATTGAAGTTTTAAACTAATAGCTTAACCATTAGAATTAAAATGAAAAATTATCTAATTTGCAAACTACATACCCAATTTAATTAGATTGTCAAACAAATTGATTGACAACTTGACAAGTGAGACTCATATAATTAACAAATAGGTCTATCAAGTATCAACTAACCACTATTGGAGTAAAAACTAACTAAAAAGAGAGTAGCTTGAAATATTAAATGATACAACTAGATAAGAAGCAATAACAAGTTAATTTGGCAATAATTGACTTATACAAATTTTTGTATGTGGCTGGCCACATGATGTGACAAGGGTTACTGGTTTTATCCGAGGTTACTTGTAGGTGTTACTTGTATTCTGGGGTTACTTGTATGGGTGTTACTGGTTTTGGTCGGGGTTACTTAATTATAGGGTGTTACTGGTTTTGTCAGGGGTTACTTGTAGGTGTTACTTGTAATCTGGGGTTACTTGTATGGATGTTACTAGTTTCGGTCGGGGTTACTTGTAGGGTGTTACTGGTTCGATCTATCAGGTGTTACTTGTATTTTAGGGTTACTTGTATTTTAGGGTTACTTGTATGGCTGTTATTGGTTTTGATCAGGGGTTACTTGTAGGGTGTTACTGGTTTGATATGAGATTTTGGTCTGGAGTTACTCAGAATACAAGTAACACATACAAGTAACCCATACAAGTAACCTCATAATACAAGTAACAACCTACAAGTAACCCATACAAGTAATCTCATAATACAAGTAACACCCTACAAGTAACCAAACAAGTAACCGTGCCGCACTATGTGGCTTGCCACATTGAAAAACCTCTGATTTATTTATTAAGAAGCAATAACTATATCGATCCATGCACAATTTTTTCATTGGATAAATTAGGAAATATAAGTATTTCTTATTTTCTGTACATTCGTAAGGGCTTTATTTATTTTATTATTTTTTTTACAAGGGCTTTATATATATATTAAAATGTTTATAAATATTGTAAAGAAAATAAGAAATAACTATAACAATCCATGGTTCCATGCACAACTTGTTTTTGAACAATATTAACTGTTACTAATCTTACTATATTCTTCATAAGACATTAATTCCCCCACATAAACTTTCCGTACATGGCTAAACAACCTTTTTTGTGATTAAAAATAAATTAAATGAAATTAAAGTGACATTATTGTAGGGAGAACTATGCAAAAAGCATAATAAAGCATAATAAAGGAATAAAAAGTTGATATGGGTATAGGGAAAAGGAGATTCATTGTTGTTCCTAGGCCAGGGGGTATGACAGAGATGGAACAACATAAATGCCACTAGATTTCTTCCAAACATCATTGCATTTTTAAAATCATTGTTGTAATGATTATATTCTTTACATTATATCTAAAATTAAATGTGAATACCATAGTTTTTTTAAGAAAAATTTGACTTTTACCACCTCCAAAAAAACAGCTTAATTGATTTTACCATCTATATAAAAAAAGATTTACTTTACCACCAACAAAATTTTCAAAAATTCGATTTTACCACCAACTGACGGATTCCGTCCATTAATCCGTTAGTAGGGCCCACCTTTTTGATGTTTTTTTTTCGTCTTCCCCGATCTTCCATGTAAACCATCCAGTAACAAAATCAACTACCTCGGTTGGTCGAAATTTCATGTGGGACTAAGGAGGGGTAGGAATTTGGGGTGTGGGTTAAGGAGGTGGTCGGAATTAGGTGGTGGCTAGGGTTTTAGGAGTGCGAAATTTGGTGGTGGCTAGGGTTTTTAGAGTGGTCGGACTTAGAAGGGGCTTTATGGGTGATCGGAATTTGGTGGCTAGGGTTTTGATGTCGAAAATTGGTGGAAAGGGGGTCGAAATCAGTGCGGCAGTTGTGGCTGTGCGGTGGTAGCGGTTAGGTGGTGGGGGCTGGTCGTAGCGGTTAGGTGGTGGGGCTGGTCGTAGCCAGTCCGACGGTGGGGGTCCTGACGGTGGCAACAACCACTGATTGATGGATGTGATTATTTTTTAATTTTTTTTAATTTTTTTTAATTTACCCAATAATATGCGCAACATGTGTGCAAGGTAGGCCCCACTAACGGATTTATGGACGGAATCCGTTAGTTGGAGATGATTGGTGGTAAAACTTAATTATTTATTTTTTATTTTTATGTGGTGGTAAAGTAAATCTTATTTTTAGAGGTGGTAAATTCAATTAAGTGTTTATTTGAAGGTGGTAAAAGTCAATTTTTTTTTTTTTTAATGCTTTATACTTGTATAATATTACTCCCTAGTACTGTATTATATAATATATATATTTCCTCCCAGTCTTTGACATGGGTATAACTCTGGTCTGATCTACAGAACAAATTTATCTTGTAAAAAGTTGTATTGAGCTAATAGGTAGTTTTTTTCATTTAAACGTGAGATACGTAGTCCATACTAGTTGGTAATGAAGTTGAATAAGATCGAATGAAAGTCCTACAAGACTACAATATACAGTATAGATTTATTAAAGAAGTTAAAGTGACCATGACATCAATAAAGTTAAAAGTTCTGTAATTAATAATACTCTTTAACTAATTTTGTTACAAAAGTTAGCAAAATTAGTAAGGGAGACCAGTTCCAAATACAGTAACAATCTGTTTGAAATAACATTTAACACGCCAACATGCAAATTGATTAGATTCATATCATCAATTGGCCGTGAATTGACAAAAGGCCAATAAATAGCTGAGGTGATGAGATTCTATACATGATTTTTGTTGGAGTCATTAATGTAAGTACTTCTGCCCGACAATTATAATGTCTGTAAATAATTTTGAAATTGAAAAAGACGTACAAGAACAAATATATATATATGATCCATATTAGAAAACATTCACCCACATATATACTGAAGATATATGGTTCACATGGTTGGCTATGCATGGTTTGTCACTAACTGTTGTTCATACAATTTTTGGAAACAATTGTACGAAGATAATCGATCACATGTACATCTGTTTTGGTAGTGCAGCTCACTTAGACCAGTAACCACATAGATGCGGCTATAGCTAACATATCAGGTCGAGTCGAGTTCGTGTTCGTGTTTGAATTGAAAATTATTGATTAAACTATTTGAAAACACATTTCTAATCCAACCTATTTAATCCATTACTTATTTTATCCATTACTTGTTTAATCCACTTAATTAAACTTAATCATCTAATTTTTACGACTATTATCATATTAAAAGTAATCGTTTTCTAATAGACTAATTACAAAAATTTATCACCCACAATTTGACTTTTTTCTAAAAGTAATTACATACTCAGTTATTTTAATTTTCAAAATTTTCAATATCATAAGGTCAAATAGAAATATAGAATAGGTTGATTTTAGGATGAAAATATCAACCTTTTTCTTTTTTTTTTTTTTTTTTTTTTTTTTTTGAGGAAAATCAACCATAATTTTTTACCAATAAAGGAGTGTAAAACTTAAATAAATAAATAAATAAAACTGGCAACATTTGACAAGTGTAACATATAAAAAAAAGACGTAGGGACGAATATTTAAACTTTCCTCAGTTCTCCAATATTTTACTAAAAATAATATTTATCTCAGTATAAAATATTCATTTGTTGCAAATAATAAGAAAAGAAGGTAGTATAATGAGTAAAGCCCATAATTATTGATTGACACACATTACTAATTATTGGAACTTACTTTTGCTTGAAATTACTTATTTTTACATTTTTATTTTTATTTATTTATTTATTTTTTAAAATATGATGATACTCATTTTTGCTAATCAAGGCCTTGTTTCCTTAACCCAATTCCAATCAAATTAATATTATATCACTGTTTAAACTGATTTTCAAAAGTGGCCCGTTACCAAATTATTAGAAGTTAAGCAAATGTAACAAAGCCTTAAAAAGTGGATTATTACCAAATTGATAGCCTGGTAATGAAGCCTCTTCAAAGCCTTCCAAACCTAAATTCTGTTATAATCCCATTTTATTTTCCCACTCAAATCCAGGCTACAATTCCACAAGCATATACAAGTACTTCGTAACTCGTACAACTGTAATTTCAATTTTTCATGCACAACATGTTATATTGTTACGGAGTAATCGACCTAATCGTAATATACTAATATTGTCTTTTGGTTACGCATTGACAAACAATTATTTTCACTCAACAACATCGACAAAACCAACGATAAATCGGCCCAAACCAACAATAATCAATGTTAAATGGCCAATACATATTACATCTTCTTTCCATACCCGACCTGGTGTTGTACATGATAGTGTTTTATATTGGATAGTTAACAATAGAAACTTGAGCATCATGGTAGCATTTGAAATAAATAGGTTGCAATATTGGGTCATCGATTTGCCAAGTACTGACTATAATAACCTTTATGGCTGTCAAGTGACTTCCTCTTTTTAAGTTAGTAGGGGAGCCAACGCGCGCGATGCATGCGGAGCGGTTTGCCTTTTTTTATTTAGATTGTGTTTTGTTTATGAGGTTATGGTAGTTGTTTTTTGGGTTAATTATTTTTTATTTGAGTTGTTTGTGGGCTGTTGTTTTGTAAAGGGAATTGTGATTTACGTGGCTATCATATTGGAGTGGTGCTATTATCTTGAAATGTACAGTAAATGAAATTTGTAATTGCAATGAGTTGGTGTTGTGACTATCAATTGGAGTGGTGCAATGATCTTTAAACTTGCCATTTATTATTTGATTTCAATAAAAGAGTTCTTACATGGCACATAATTTAAGATTAATCCTAGTAGTACGGAGTACTTAGATAGATATAATGATATGCAGAAAGTGTTCTTATATGGTAGTACTAAATTATTGTAAATATTTAGCTAAGTATAAGTTGTCGTTTTAGGACAAACGACTACTTCTTGTTTTTTGTTGCACAATAATGCCCTTCAAAATAAAATCAGAAAGCGGGATTCGAAGGATTGTTTTTGTTGAGTTTTTATTCGAATTATATGGCCTTTCCCCCTTTTTTTCCGTTCTTACCGCCATTTTCTTCTCATATATCTCTGAAGTAGGGAGACCAATGAGTTTTTTACAGTCTTTAGCAAAAGCAGTGAGTCTTAGTGTCCCAGTGGCGTCACACACATCGATTGTGAAATTTACCCTGTGTGTAAAGGGACATTAGTATTTTGGTTATTGTAGTTGTTGCATTTGTTGATTTGAATTGATTCTTACCTGACTGCGGCAGTACTGTTTTTTTTTAGCAGTGGAGGCATTTGAAAGTTGCGTCCTTTGCTTCTTGGCAGCGCTTTCCACAGTTGTTACATCCTAGGTAAGCAAGCAGATTTTCCAACTGAGCATCAGGGATAGTGGCTTGTATCCAATGGCGTTCTTCTTGCATTGTGTTTGCAGCCTGCGATTTATGAAAATGCATCAGTTCTCTGTTAATATGTAGGTATTTGTTATGTAGCGGGGTATGGGTTGTTGCCCTTACATTTTTTTGCTCAATTTCATTGATAGTTTTCGTTGCTGTAGTTCTTGATGGTGTTCTGATGTGCAGTATTTTTGTTGCCTGGTCAAGAAGCATTTCTTGTTTTTCTTTCATCCTAGGATGTTTTGAACGTATTTAGTACAGTTGATTAGCATTAGATATTTTAAGTATATCGTGTTTTTCATTGCTTACCATGTTCGAAGAGCATGTGCTTCCTCCCCCGTAGGATCTGAGATGATAGTAGTTGACATTGAGCTTGCAAGGGAGAACCCTACATGTTTTAAGGTTTTGAATTAGGCAGTGTGTTAAGGTATTTTAACAATTTGAGAAGAAATGATAGGCTACCTTTATATGTGGTTGGTCGTAAGTGAGTGAAGGCTGCAACTATTGGGCTTAGCACCCAACATGCAAGCTTCTCAGTGTCAATAACAGCAAGGCCTCCCCACATTGAGATGGTGAGCGGCTGTTCAGTGTTGTTTATCATGGCATATAGAGTCATGGATACTTTTGTAGTTTTGTATAAATGGTGGATTACATTGTTATAATAGGTTATTATCATCATTGTTTACGTACTTTTGGTCAGTGACTATGATTTCACGTACATCCATCATGTTTCCTCCTGATGTTGGTACTTTCCTGACCTCTTCTATGTAAAGGACAACAGCAAGCAAATCTGTGTGACATGTTACATATGGTTAGTGACTGCTACATAAAGTGTTGTTACCAATATAGTTGATGTTGGTTATCACTGTACTTACCAAAGCGTTCATTTTTGAAGCTTGTTTTTGGAATTGAGTTGATGGAGACATAATTTGGCAGAACTGGACCTGCAGTTGGGTCTAGTGGTTCGATGATCGTTTGTCCGCCGAATGTCATCTGGCACTCATCTTCTCTTTTTTTGGTACTTTGGATCTATTGGTTTCAATGGAGCATTTGCGATCTCATATTCTTTCCCTAGTTGCAGGACGTCCTTGAAAGTGTCTATTTCATCACCAAAAAGAGTACCTCCAAGATGGTTACCCTGCATAGCACAGTTCAAGTGAATATATGTGCCATAAAAATCCAATCGACCTGATCATATCTAAAGTGACCCTGCTTCTTTAAGTCTTTTTATTGCATGGCAATGTAAATTATAATGTTTAACTCATAGATTTGTTTGCTCGACAATCATGACATTTCCATAAACTAATTTAATAAATGTCATGTTGAATATGTAAGTGATTTTTAGCTGTTGAAGTTGTGAGTTTCCTTTTTTTTTTGGTAATTTGGTTGTTGATTAAATCTGTGAATGAGATCTGTATTTTCCTCATGTTTTCTGGTTTTATGGCCGATAGCAGAATTACAAGCAGTTGTATTTTTTATATTACTTTTTTTAGTGCCTAGTAAGAAAGTGAACATACCTTAGTATCCTCAAATACAAGGCGTTGGTAGCGCTTCTTGTTTGGTGATTGTTGTGGCTGAGATTTTTCTATCACTTTGGCTCTGACTTTGTAAGCTTTGGTGCTTGGAGTTAGTTTCCCGAGTGAAGTTTGTTCTGGCTTCATGGTTAAACTCTGCAGCAATATATATGTACAATGCAAAACAGAAAGGGTAAGTTAAGAAACGATATGGATATGACCAATGTGATATAATACTTGTTTACTGAACAATACTGACCTTTTTTAAAAGTGAAGGATACTTTGGATGGCGTTGGTGGAAATGACAGAGAATAAACCACATATATATAGATATATATTGTTGTTTAAGACCAATGTTTCAGTTTCAAACTGTTGCATTTCCTGTGCTTGGTTTTAATTAGAGTTTAATTGTATTGATAATAAGATCTAAATGCAAAGAATTTGAAAAGAATTATACTGTAGTTATTTGTAATTAGGAGTAATTATTGCTAATTATTTCTAAGTAGTATTTGAAGCTTCCTGTGACTGTTTGTTAACATAAGATGCTGCACAATAAATGTACTATAACCTCTCAATTTAACAGCCTAATGAATATTATGTGGAATGTCAACTGTAGACACCCATTTGTGTCTCCCCAAAACCAAACCCAGTGATGAGTATCTTTCACGTCGAATCATAATCGAATGAAACGAAAGTGTGGAAAGGTCTAGTGTTGCGGAAAGTTTTAATTCTTTTCTTTTCTCTTCTTCCTGTTTTTGAAAACTTTATTTTAAGAAAACAGCCAATCCAGTTTGGTTGGTCCATGATATGGGTACAATAGTGGTGTAGTTGGATGGGGTTTGCAAATACCTTTCCAACAATATATTATAAGCCCAATTCCGATGAATATTGAGGAATTTATGGCCAATTTACTAAATTGGGCCTGGTTTGAGCTTTAAGTACGGCCCAATGATCTAGGGGAGGGCATAATATGATTTATCATTCCTAATGCAATTAGGAATGGTTTTGGTCTTCTAGAACATTCTAGAAGGTCTTATCATTCTTAATTCAATTAGGATTCTTCAGAGTTTTAATTAGATCAAATAGCATTTTCGACTGAAATTATATTATTTTATCTTCCAGTACGGGGAATTTATCAGATTTTCGAAAACGCGTTGAAATCCAAATTGGCGTCCAACCCCGGGCCTTGGCGCCTGGAACCAGGATTGGCGCCAGACGCCAGCCATTGGCGCCTGGCGCTAGCCACTGGTCCTGGCGCCAATGAGCCAGGGCTGGCGCCAATGTGTTTTTGTGGTCTTCAGACTTTGTTTTGATAAATTATCTTTTTTGGATGATTTTATCTATAAATATCGTATCAAAAACTCCGGTTTCATTCATCAACAATCACATTATCAATCACCAATGATCAATATTCATTGACCAATAATCAATTCTCTTCTTCATTCATCAACTCTTTTCATTAACAAATTATTCATCAATTCAATTCTTTTCATCATCTTCATCTCTTTCATCAATAATTCTTAACATTCATTCATTCTTACTTTAATACTTTGCTTTTTGATACAAAATTCCGCATTCGCAAGATCTAGATACACCTAGCCATATTCGAAGTTGCCTTCGCCCTAGACGTGAAAGGTTTTAATTTCTGAGGGTTTGGTCCCAAATCTCTCTTTCAATTATTTAATTTAATTGTTTTGATTATTATTTTCCTTGAAATTACTAACGCGTGTATTTTGTTATTAGAAAGAGGTACGAGACATCCAAATAAGTACTTTAATTGATTTATTGATATTATGATGTAGAAATCATGTTTACATTGTTATTATGATATTCCTAGTATAATGTTTAGGGTAATTTTAATATCAAGTATGATTAAAAGTATGATGCTTCCTATTTTCTTTCAAATATTAATTCATGTTGGTATCATGTTAGGGCTAAAGATTTAATTTGATTTTTATTGTTTAGTGACATGCTAGGGGTTGTTATTAATCTTGTTAGTATCATGCCTAGGATCTTGCTATTCTTTAACATGATTATGATTATGATTGATATTATTCTTATTAATGATGTTTATTATTTATTATGTTGCTTGATATGCATACTATTTTATTTGTTATTGCTTGATCACCTTTTATTGCATGTTTAAAGGGAATTGATACTTGCAATCACGCTTAATAAGATAATTAATAATCTTGTTAGGTTAACTGTGATTATAATTCAAGTGATCGCCAATAATAGATTTATTTGTGCATTAAATTCAACCAACATAGTTTAAACATGTTTAGGGTTAATCCTATTGATTGTATGTTAGTCAGAAAGCGCACATGAATACGAGCAGAATAAAGTAGAGGCCTATTATTAGGGCAGGTTCAATCTCTTTTAGGTTGGATTTGTACCTTCATCCCCGAACCCTTATTTGATTCATGACCTTATGGAGTTGACGATCTCTTGAATCGTTAAGGGGTGTAACCTTCACCTCGTGAACGGTTTACAAGTTCCTTAAAAACTTGTTGGCGACTCTTTTGCTCTATCTCCTTCCCTTTTGGACGCCACCGTACTTTAGTGTATGATCACAGTGGGGTTCAAGCTAGTGGGATTTTAAAGGCTTGAAATTATTCCCTACACCAACCAAATAATCATATGGAAGTGAAGTTTGTTCTGGCTGAAGAAATGGTAGTCTATAGAGTAGAAATGTCAAAATGAATGAACCAAATTATTAAAGACCCAGTATATTTTCTATCACAATCTGCCATTACTAAGTTAAAAAGAATGTATCATCAACTCAAAAAATCAAAATTGCAGAAAATAATAGTGTTAATCAAAGCAAAACAGCAAGATTGTAATAACAAGAGTAGGAAATGTCAAATTCTTTCAGCAGAGTTGGTGGGTTTATAAATCACAGTAAATTATTATTATAAAAGAAAAGTCGCTTAGGAAAAAAAATGGAGTTAAGAGTGGTAAGAATTGCAATTTCCCCATTGTAAATTAGTGATTGGCAATTAGCAGTATTTATTAACCAAAGACAAAATATTAAACCTCAACCTGCTGAAAGTTGCTATCTAGTGAATTAGACCAAACCTTAGCCCACCACCTTAAGTTGGTTCACCTACTCAACTCTAACTAATATGCCAAGCAAACAGATTTGGGTTGGAAGTGACAAGTATTGATTCGTGAAACCAAAAAAAGAATGCAGACTATTATATAGCAGTAATACAGAGTATTGGAACTCACTCTTCTCTGATGTGGAGAGATAAGAGTAAACCTGAAGATATTCTCATTATGCATATAAATGCATCTGTCAATGGATGAACCTTAATTGGGCAAAAAGTAAGCGCATGTACAAAATAAAGTGATTCTCATTTCATCAATAATATGCATGAGCTGAAAAAAGAATAATAGATTATATCAGAAACCTATGATGTCAGAGATAAAACAGAGAAGCATTCAGAAATTAAAGTATCTCGATTATTAAATAAATTAATGCAGGCAAGAAATTCAAACACACAACTGCCAATCCTTAACTCAGCATAACTTTACCAAAAGAAGAGAACAAACAAAATCAGTGCACAACAGCTACTTGACATGAAATACCTGTAGTTTTTTTATTATCACTAATAATAAGAGGTCTTTGATTGACTCACAAGTAAAACATGAACTCACGACAGTTGGCAATACAAAGTCGTTTTGCTGCAGAGATGACATGAACTCGGTCACAGTGTTCTACTCTTAAAGCCTGTTCACATGATCATTGTCATAACAACTGTGTTGTCAGTTTCACATCTAACTCAGAATTCACATTTATGCATGCTCGAAGAACTATAGTTTCATCAGAGCAGCCATATATGGTGGGTACCGTCTGCCCTGCACCAAAATCTTATACTCTTGTTATGTTTAAATGATTTTGAAAGAAATAAAGGGTTAATTTTGAAGCAAGACAACATTCAAATAATGTAGATATCATTCCAAGTAGAAATCTTAACAAAATACACAGTAATTAGGAAGTAGTTGCTTGTCATTTTCAGAAGAAGAAGTAATAGATTGTTTCAAGAAACAATAACATTTTGTCAAATTTAAAGATGAACTAAGTTTATTGAAATATTCTCCTTCATTTGGAATTTTAAATTGGCTGAAAAAGATAAGCAGACCGAAGTTCCTGTTTTAGTTGTTCCTGTCACAAAAGAATGGTCTTGACTTTAGCAGCTACACATTAGGTGAACGGCATACATTATAAAAAATTAATCAAGAGGTTGTAATTATACTGACCTTGAAGGAGATTGCTGTGTAACACCTGATCGTAGTAAGATCTCAAACGAAATAACATTTTTTGCACTGTAGACATGCTGATCTTCTGTTGTAGGCTTGGTCAGTACCCTTACATGTTTAGAATTCCGGGCTCGAGAAAGGGCAACATATAGTTGTCCATGAGAGAAGCAAGGTCGTCTAAGGTATATCCCTACTTGAGTGAGTGTTTGTCCCTGGGCTTTGTTGATTGTCATAGCAAAACAAAGCTTGATTGGGAATTGTTTTTGCTGGAACTGGAACGGGTAATTAGTTGAGGCAGAGGGCCGCAAGTCAATGCGTGGCAGAAATACATATTCACCAGTATGATGGCCAGTTGCAATTACACACTCAATCATGTTGGGGTAGAATCTTTTGCATATGAGTCGTGTCCCATTGCATAAGCCAGAGGCTGGAGCAAGGTTCCTCAGCAGAATAACGGGGCAATTTTCCTTTAGAACCAATTCATGTGGACTCATTCCTCCGGGGCATAAAGTGTTTAGGAATTCAGTTGTGTAAATTTTGCAATTTTCATCAATTAACACATCAAAACTCTTGTAGGTTACAGCCTGACCTGGGTGTTTTGCAATTAGCAGAGTATTTATCTCATCAACATCATCGTTGAGGGGAGTCAAGATTGCACGTTCAGCGAAGATGCTGGAACTGAAACTACCTGCGGTCAGTTCCGGGAATATTTGGCTGAGAAGCTGGTCCAGAGAGTAGTTTTCATCCTCAAATGGCACAACCAGTTGTCTTGGTAGATGAATGGCAGCTATCTCTTCTGTTTGCATACGGCCGTCCCCTAAAGCAAGCAAGAAATCAGAGAATGCAGGATCTGTCCGTGCTCGCATGTTTTGACTAAGGCGTATTCGTTTGAAACCATGCCATAGATAAGAAGAGACTAAGCTCGCTTGTACGACTTCTTTTTGTGATTTTTTGGGTACCACAGGCAATACTTGCCGAAAGTCCCCACCGAAGACGACAACCTTGCCACCAAAAGCTGTACGGCTATCACATAAATCCCTAAGCAGCAAGTCTAATGATTCTACGTTTTCCTTGATTGCCATTGATGCTTCATCCCAAGTAATCAAGGAGCTTTCTCGTAGAAGACCAGCTAAGCTGCTTTGTTTAGATACATTGCAAGACATGGAAGCTGTATGATCAAGGGGGATTTTAAAACGTGAATGGGCTGTCCTCCCAGTCACTATGTTTGAGGCAGCAATTCCGGACGTAGCTGTTGGAAGAACTATTTTGCCCATTTTTCTAACAGCAGCATACAATGCACAGTAAAGGTATGTCTTTCCAGTGCCTCCCGGACCGTCAACGAAAAATGAACCAGGTTTGTTAAGCTGCACATGTTTAATGATGCAATCAAAGGCATCGCGTTGGGCAAGGTTGAGCTTGTCAATGGCTTCAATGTATTCAACCGGTATTGTGGCATTGAGTGCATCAGCAATATCCTTTGTTTGTCGTAGTCCGGAGTCTGCATTGCTTATCAACACCCCTAGGCCAAATTCTTCCAAAGTTTTCCCCATTTCTTCTAAGAAACGCTCAACCCCTTGCACAGTAAGGGCCTTCACTTTGTCTTCCATTCCTGGATTTTGGTGTCTGATATCTTCGGACAAATGAATGTAGTACTTCTGCCAAAGGGCTAGGGGATCTCTTGGCATTCCGAAAATCAATATTGTAGCAAATAATTTACGCAAAGCTGTTGCCATATGTGCAGTAACAGCCTCTGCCATACATTTATCAATGGCGTCATCTTCTGCCAGGAGGCCAAGTTTCAAGGCTGCTTCCTGAAATGTTGCACAAAGGTGGCCGTTGACTGTTCGTAAATCTTCAAATGATTTTGGTCCCCTTACATTGATTAGTAGCAGCCTGAGAAAATATCTTTCCCCTTTGGATGGAGCCACAAAAGTCAGACGCCCTACTGCAGTTCGCACATTAGCCCGCTTAGACCATGTTTTTGTACCATGATTCCACACATAATGCTCACAAAATTCTGCATATGTGTATTTTGGTATGTTTGGGACAGTGTTGTTCATTCTGAAGAACTCGGTTAATGAAGTACGGGCTCGGCGCCTATCTGAAACAACAGAGGCTAGTTGTTCATTGGGAGAGAACCTCACACTGTGCTGATTAGGCAGGTGAATTTGCAATGTTACTACTGGTGGGCTCATTTCAAACAGGTCAAACCCAAAGATTCTCCATGCGGCTTCACAAGGGGATACCCAACGGCCTGCTTGGAATTGCTCAATCTCATTTATAGGGCCTGATGAAGCTTGTACGTTATATGATACCCGATCATGTCCTTTATAAACGTATTTGTAAAGTTACTTAACTGCTTGAATTGTTGAACATACCTCCACATTCAAGTGACAGTCGAATAAGGCAGATAAATAAGGGTTATATGGAACGACCCAACGGTTTTCCAACCTTTTCCTTCGAATCACAATAGACTCCCCTGTGTCCCGACGTCTGTATTCAGGATACCCACTTTCATGGCTTGTTGTAACATCATAAAAAGACTTAGGGTAGTCGTATTTGCACTTCCCTTCCATTCCTCTATGCTTCATGCATGGGCATTTAGGGTTATCCTTCCCACATGGGCCATGTATCATATGGTTTAAGACCACTTTTCGTAAGTATGGGTTTTCATGGGAAGGAATTTCAGCGGACACATACTTGTCAAATGAGTCTGGATGCTTTATCTTAAATTCCGGCTTTAAAATAATGAGCATATGAACATGTGGCAAGCCACGTTTTTGGAACTCAACTACATAAATGAACGCAGCCACCTCTCCAAACACTTGTTCTTTTTTTTTTCAGTGCTATAAGCTTTGCTCTGAAAACACGAGCTACAAGATCGGGTCGGTTTTGTGCTTTTTCCCCGTGTGCCAGCTCTGCTTTGATTTCTGGCCAATTTGGGTTGCAGGTCATTGTTATGAATAAGTCCGGTTTCCCAAAACGCTGTACAAGAGCGATATCATTGAGATAACGTCGTTGCATATCACGAGGCCCCCCTAAAAAGGAAGGAGGGAGGATAACACACTAACCTACATTCGATGCATTTGCTTCACCGCCTTCAAGTGTATCTACTAAACCCTGATATAGCTCAGCTCTAATTTGTGCCTGATTTTGTCTAAAGAAATCCAGCCGAGTATTCTCTATCTTCACATACATGTCTACAATATATTGCAAGAACAACCGCCCAGCCCGTAGGATGAAATTTCCAGCACACATTTGAAACTTGTATGCATAGTACTCCCCGCAAGAAATAAGCTTGCCCTTCTTCCCCCGAGCAGCAGCTGCAATTCCATTTGTTTTTATAAAAGTAGTTACATTTACATGATTAATACGGGAATGACATAAATGAAATAACATGTTTTTGGTGTAAGTAGTCACAATTAGTTGTCTTACCAGAACCTTCTTCAGTTACCAAATCAGTTGCCTCTTGAACATTGTCTGAAATGACAATATTTGAAAGGTCTTCCACCTGGGACCGTCCTCCGTGAGACATTTTTAGTAAACCGTGATGCCACCCACAGTCACCTCGAGGAAATAGAAGCGGGTATTGTAGAGGATCGTAACAGCCATAATAATGATATATCCTATGGCTCTTGTTTGATTTCCCATGAACAATGATATGTGGGCTGTTGCTTTGGCTAGATGAAGTACCTTCACTCCATATCACAGCTACTTCTTCGGATGTCGGAGAATTGTAAACACGTTGATCAAGAACGGGGTGTTTATTGAGCCTGATTTCAGTCTCTTCAGTGACTTCAGTCCCCCGAAGAGACTTGAAAAACCTGGCATATGGATTCAAAAGCATAATAGCCATGATCAAGGAAATTATACTCGGACGTAAGTTTGGAAAAAGACGATGTCTATTTTCTGCCTCAAATATAGCATCGTAGAAGTAAAGCTGTAAATATTGTGGTGGTTCATTATCAGGAAAGAGGTCAGGAATATTATGATAAATTTGGCCATGAACCTTCAAAGCATATATTCCTTTATGAATATCCCCATCCATTGATCCACCAATTGAGCTAAAAGCAAAGAGGTTATTGTAAAGGCGAGAATATGTCCGAAAATGATCCGAATCATCGTCATTAGAAGTATAAAGTTTATCTAATTCAGGGGGTAAAGCATTAGAAGCAATTTCAACTTCACCATCACAGCAACAAAAATGCAATGACTCAAAGGCTAGTTTTTTTGCACGACACTTATCGCAAAAATGAGGGGCAGGCAACTCCATGGGCTTAGTAGGCAGCGATTGGCCGATATTTATTGCAGCACCAGCTATAAGCAGTTTTAAATAAACATTCAGTCGAGACAATTCTTTAAAAACTCAGAGAAATGCATAGCTTATTATTTAGAGACATTCACCTGTCTTTGATTGCTTTTGGCGTTTAGTTTTTGGAATCCCTAAAATCGCCCGTTGTCGAGCACTCATTCTTGTCTTTGATGTTGTAGGATATTCTGGGAAATCTGCTACAATATGAAACACCCTTATTTAAATAATGTGAAGTTTCTCGGTTTTTTAAAAATGGGAATTCATGGGGTAAAAGAAACATTGTGCTTACCCATCACATATAGAAGTGAAAATTTCAGTTGTTGGACAAGTAAATTCGAGAACCTACTGCTTGTAAATAGCTCGATCTGATCTGTACTCCTGCTTTCTTGCTTTCTTTTAACCTTTGATTATTCCCTTGAATCCCTACTTGCTTTCTTCCACCTTTCACCGTAGTTATTTTGTACCATAATCCTGCATGCTGCATCAACAACCTTTTGGTTCTCCAGTAGGCAATAACTAATGTTGTCATGGACTTATTCTATTTCTCATTTAATTACTTATTAATTGAGTAGACCTTTCAAATTCATCCATTTAACTGAGTCACCAATTAGAGATAGAAGTTAAAATTAATAGTAACTGAGAAATTGTAGATATAATTTATCTTCTTTGATAGAAAAGAATAGTACATGCTGTAACGCTCTTGTCCAGAAGTCTAAGATACTAAACAAAACACAAATTCTGCTGTGACGAAACACGTTTATATTGAGTGGAAATTCAAGCATAAGAAAAGGCACACCGCCAACAATTCATTAGCAAGAATCAATGAAAAGAGCCAAACCTGGTAAACGGCAAGGCTAGAGTTGATTCCAGCACCATTGACGTCTCTACCCTGGACATACAACCTCCTTACAGAAGGCACCATTCCCTTTGGGCATACAGCAATCACACTGAAATTCTTGGGAAACTCCTTTCCCAAAGACTGCAGATGCCCCAAAACAAATCCATAAGACAACCCAAGAATGCTGTTAAGTTTCATGAGGGAGAAAAACTTTTCATAGTTGTCAGCCTGAAATATAGACAAAGGAAAGGGTAAAGTTAATCTAACCATCAGTAAACATTCAGTTGAAACTACGGATACGATTTCCACTACAAGTTCATAAATAACAGAGAACTAATTCAAATATGCAATTGAGAAATGTGAGAAAATAAAACTTCCACGCTAGAGGAGCAAGATTGCAGAGAGACATAAACCTGAGCAGAGTCAGAAATCAGCAGCATCACAAAGTTTTATTCTCTTCACTGAACCCAGCAGCGCGTGCCTCAGCTAAAGAGTTAGATCCTTTGCGGAGTCCATTCTGCATCACAGAGGCAATAAAGCCATGACAATATATAACTTGGAATCACACATTTTCGTCACATAATGACAGAAGCTTGATGAAGGGATGATAGAAATTTAGTATTCAATAAACCTTCACTTGAATTCTGAATTCACTTCTCTTCGGCAATTCGGACAGAGATGAAATTCAGCACTTAATACTTCTCTTTCGCAATATCAACAGAGATGAAGACACATGGAGAGGAGAGAAAGACACATGGAGAGGAGAGAAAAAGCTGAAGGCAGAAGGTGTTAATTACTAGTAGAAAAATTGCATTTGGCACCCCCATATGGAACCGGTTCAGCCCAAACCGGTGCCAAAAATCGGCCCTAAATTGGGCGGGTTTTTAAGAAAAGGGAAAAGGCACCGGTTTGGCCTGAACCGGTGCCTAAAAGTAAAAAGGCACCGGTTTGAACCGGTGCCAATTGAACCGGACCCAATTCAAAAAAAAAAAACGCGGACTACATATCTTCTCCTTCCTCTCTTTCTCTTTCTCTTTCATTCCTTCTTCAATCCTTACTGTTTCGACCTTCAATCCTTCCTCTCTCTCCCTCCACCACAGCCGTCACCTTCACCGGCGGCCACCAGGGGTTTCGAAAACCGGTCACGCGCCTTCAATCCTTCCTCTCTCTGTTTTCCCTTTCTTTCTCTTTCGAAAATAAACCACTTATTCAAAAAATCCTTCCACCGCCCTGAGGTTGCTCCACCACCTAGTCGCGCCACTCCCCTGAGGCTCCTCCACCACCGAGCCGCGCCACCAGCCTGAGTGTCCTCCTCCATTTACCGTGAGTGCCAGCTAGCTGCTGCCCTAATTTTCTCCTCCACCACCTAGCTGCGCCACCCCCCTGAGGCTCCTCCACCACCGAGCCGCGCCACCGGCCTGAGGGTCATCACCGAGTCTCCTCCTTGCTGCTGCCCTAATTGTCTCAAGGTTTATTTTTAATTTTATGTAATTTTAACTTCTCAGGTTTCATAAATCACTATATATGCCCTTTGATTTTAGGGTTTAAATCACTATATATAATTCGACATCAGAACAAGCAGCAAATTGCAGTGGCTGTTTTGTGATGAGTGACTTAGTTTGCAACTTTAATTCTTCCCAATTATTGTGAAATTGAACCAATTTACTTGGTAATTGAGAAATGTTAAGTGTTAATGTTGTTGTTGCCTCTTATTATGGGTGTGTAATTGTTGGGTTTGTATTTAGTTTTAGTTTCTGATTCAAGTATTTGAGCTAGTGAGAATCTCTTATGAATTTACCAGAATTGAAGCGATCGCTTTAATGTTTGTTCTTTCAATTTGGGAGGATCCTGGATGTTGTAGCTTTGAAGACACCTAAACTTCGAGGTCAAGCTTAGATTTGTTTTAGTGAGATTACAGCAGCGAGTAATGCTGTACTCACTTTGGAGTTTATTTGAGTTGCTGCTCTCTTGCTACTGCAAAGTTGCAAACTACAATACCTGAATCATTTGTGTTATTACTTATCAGGCTATGCGTTTTTCTTGTTTTTGCTGTTGCTTTTGGGCAATTCAAGCTATTTATACCTAGAGAGTTTCTAATTTAAGCATTGTTTTACTGCCACAATTTAAGCAATGTAGTAGATGTAAGCTTCATAGGATCCATTTCCTTAGCCCTAGATTATATATAACGCTACAGAATCATCTGTTATTATTGATATAGCCGAGGAAAAGAATGTTTGCACTTAGCCAGTTATGCTTTCTGCATGGAAGAGTGAATTCTTTTGTTACTTATGTTGTCCCTCTTTTTTTTGCCATGCAATATTTGGAATTGTTGCTTGTAATTCTATCTATATGTTTTTCGACATTTATCTTATCAATTACTCTGTATCCTTAGGATGGAAGATTCAGGTCTAAACGTGATGCAAGGAAAGGAGGTATGACAACTGCAAATTTGCGGTCTTTTAATTTACTTGCTGATTTCTAGCTTTATGCTTGCCTTGCTACTTTTCCCTGTTATTCTTGGAATAATTTCTACAAATCCTTTGTAATTTTCTAGTAATCCTTTCATAAACTCATGCTGAATATTGAACCATATATTTACTATCACTAAATGGTGTTTCATGTATTCATGCAACTGAAAAGGGAAAATAATCCAACAATGCTCCCTCTCAAACTCCAAGTCGGGCTGCTGCAGTTAATTCACTTAGGACTGGTATGATGGCACAGTTCAAGAGCAGCTTTGTGGCTGCTTCACCCGATTCTCAGAATCAGGCAACTAACAATTCAAACGTGTATGCCAACAAGCGCCCAGCTATGACTGGTTTTGTTTCGGGTGGTACCATTGGTGGGGACACCAACAGACCTCAGGCAACCCCTACAACAAATTTCACGCCAGCATCAGGAGGCAGCATCGGTGAGATACTCTCTCCACTCCTATGTGCATTACTTTCATGGTATGTTATTTCACGCCTTAGACACTTAATATTACCCAACAATGGCATGTTATGAGAAAGAAATAAGAAATGTAGGAAATGGGCAAAGTAAGGTCATATAGGCCATATTCGGGCCATTTTGAGTAAAAAGCGTCATAAACCTTAATAATATGCTCTCCTATACAATTTTAGGGCTTAGACACATACAACTACCCAACATTGACATGTTATGAGAAAGAAATAGTTCATTTGATAAGTAATGTAGAAAATGGGCTACATAGAAGTCATATAAGCCCTATTTGGGCCATGTTGAGTAAAATGCGTTGTTAAACTTCTTGAAATGCTATATTGATGTGATTTCTAGCCTTAGACACCTAATATTATCCAACAATGACATGTTATGAGAAACAAAAAGGCTATTTCACAAGAAAGGTAGAAAATGGGCTGAGTAGAAGTCATATGGGCCATACTAGGGCCATTTTGTGTTAATATGCTCTTTTGATGCGATTTCTTTCCTTATAAACCTATAACTAGATAATATTGACATGTTATGAGATAAATAAAGTTCATTTAATAAGAAATGTAGGAAATGGGCAAAGTAAGGTCATATAGGCCATATTCGGGCCATTTTGGGTAAAAACCGTCATAAACCTTAACAAAATGCTCTCCTATACAATTTTAGGGCTTACACACATACAACTATCCAATATTGACATGTTATGAGAAAGAAGTAGTTCATTTGATAAGTAATGTAGAAAATGGGCTACATAGAAGTCATATAAGCCCTATTTGGGCCATGTTGAGTAAAATGCGTTGTTAAACTTCTTAAAATGCTATATTGATGTGATTTCTAGCCTTAGACACCTAATATTATCCAACAATGACATGTTATGAGAAACAAAAAGGCTATTTCACAAGAAAGGTAGAAAATGGGCTGAGTAGAAGTCATATGGGCCATATTAGGGCCATTTTGTGTTAATATGCTCTTTTGATGTGATTTCTTTTCTTATACACCTATAACTAGATAATATTGACATTTTATGAGATAAATAAAGTTCATTTAATAAGAAATGTAGGAAATGGGCAAAGTAAGGTCATATAGGCCATATTCGGGCCATTTTGGGTAAAAACCGTCATAAACCTTAACAAAATGCTCTCCTATACAATTTTAGGGCTTACACACATACAACTATCCAATATTGACATGTTATGAGAAAGAAATAGTTCATTTGATAAGTAATGTAGTAAATGGGCTATATAGAAGTCGTATAGGTAATATTTGATAAAATACATATTTTTTGCCTAATTAATTATATTTAAAATAATGTTTTTGTATTTCAAGTTTTGCAAGGTCCAAAAGGATGGTCCGTTGACAATCAAGGAGCTTAATGAAGTTCGTGACATGTTGGCGTCTTTCATCACCTTCAACATGTAAATGGCATGCATTGTAATTGTAAATTATAATTTATGTTAACTTTTGAACTATATATAACTTATTATTCATTATATATGTGTACTTACTATTATTTGTATATGTAAGCAACTGTTTTTTTTTTTTTTTTTGTATTGCGTTTGGGAATATATATATATATATATATATATATATATATATATATAAAATTGAATTCTTGTATCTAATATTATTTTTGTATATAATAATTAATAATATTATTATTAGTTATTATAATAATAAAATTATTAATTATTATATTTAATATAATTGCTGGAATTACAGGTTATTATTATTGCAGGCTTTTTTTAAAAAAATATTATTGCACGATTGAAAAAAAAAACGAAAAAAAAAAATTATACAAAAGGCACCGGTTAGGCAGGAACCGGTGCCTAAACTATCCACCACCCAAAAAAAATGGCGGGAGAGCAGTTTTAGGCACCGGTTAACCGGTGCCTATTTCACCCTATGGCACCGGTTAACCGGTGCCTATTAAACCCTATGGCACCGGTTTTGAACCGGTGCCAAATAGCAGGTTTTTGGCACCCCTCAAATAGGCAGCGGTTCAAACCGGTGCCTTAGACCGGGTTTGAACCGCTGCCTAATGCCTTTTTTCTACTAGTGAATTATTGTGGGGGTAATAAGGTAAATAAACAATTTTGAGGGTATAAAGGTCCGATCACTGTTCATAAGAACAACTTCCCACTTTTTATAAGGTAGGGATAACGAAATCAGGGCCGTCCTCACTATTACGGAGGCCCTGTTCAAATTTAACATCTCACAAAAAAAAAGGGGCCCTACCCACTATTGATTAATAATTATAATGTCAGAAATTTGAGAGTTCTAATTTATTTAATGCTTGAAGCCATTAACTTGGGCTTATTGTTTCTTTCTTTGATTATAATATTAAAGAACTTTGTTGATTTGACGCCCCTTGCATTGTAAGGCCCTGTTGGTCTCTTTGCACAGGTGCTTCACCGGCCTTGAACGAAATATTATGTGTTTCTTTTGAGAATCGTCTTTTCTTTGGATATGGAAGCCTAAAGAACAAGGCGATTCTAGCGTATATGTATGAGGGCTATCCTTTCAAAGATCAAGGTTCATGGGTGTTGACCTATACAGTGCCTCTTCAAGTACTCGCTCCTTCAACTGGAATGGTGCTATCCCAATATTTTCTTCTTTATTCACAATAACAAGTTCATGTCCTATTATTAATCTTCCACAACAACATTTAATTTCTACAATGTTGGATTTAGATACACCCGTACAAATCATGAAATTTAATAATTGCTAAATTGCTTCGTGTTCTTGTAATCAAATATGATTACTGATTTTCCTAGGATTATAACAACTTACGGAATGAATTTCAGCTTTAAAAAAGACCACTTTTTTTTAGGGAAAGACCACCATGTTTATGGACCACTAGAAAAAAGGGGAAAAAAAAAAAAGATGAAAATACATTAAAAGCCGAATTTTAGTGTATATAATCTCAATTGAACATGGTTTCTATACAAATATGTACATTTACCAATTTCCCACCTTAAAATTTTTCGGGGGGAAAAAGAAAAGGAAAAGAAAAAAAAAAAACATTTACTAAGCCATAAAAAATTGATCTCTCTAATTAGAAAAAAATATACTCTTACGGTGAAATATTTGAATTGCAATGATTCTGATTACGTGCTGGCCAAAAAAATCTCTCACTCCATGAATATGATCTCTTCATTGCTCTATTAACCCTTGAAGGAAGTGGTCTTGATGAAGAACCACCCACTAATGCATACGAGTTCGAGTTCGAGTTTGGGTACGAGTTCGAGTCTTGTTGCGTATGTGGGGTACTAACATGTCTATAATCCATAGAATAAGATCTCCTTACTAGAAATGCTATAGGATGAATATCACTTTCAGCTTTACTTTGATCAATTTCAATCTCAACTTCAAAATCCCCTGTTTCTCCTCTGTTTTCTACCACCAAACTAACTTCATTGTTCCCATTTTGGGTGATCACTAACTCTCCATCACTAGATTCTGATTCAGCCACGTGTGGGACCTCGATTCGCCTCGGGGTCCCGAAACCGGTCTCGTTATCGGGGTTGGCAACAATACTTGCCCGGCACATAGGGCAGTTGGTGTGTGACCTAAGCCATGTATCAATGCAATCAATATGAAATGCATGTTCACATTTTGGTAAAAGTCTAAGAGTTTCACCTTCTTGAAATTCACTAAGACAAACTGAACAATCTGTACCATCGATTAAACCATCCTCTTTCTTGTGTCGAATCACGGTTATCGAGTTGATCACTGACTGGTGCAATCCAACAGTTGAGATTAACCATATAGGGTGATCTACCAATGGGTTAAATTGACCGGTTGTGATGTCGATGGCTCGATCCTCGGGTACGTGATGAGGGTCACGTAATTGATTAGACTCATTTGTTACATGTCTATTGTTAGACATTCTGGACGCTAAGCGCGTCCAAAAGGTACAATATTTTATAACAATAGCATAGTAAGACACCAACAGAAAGGCACCAGCTAAAATAATTATGACTATAATCACAAGGGGTGATAAGTGGAAATCATCATGGGTGTTCGACGATGGGGTTGCCACGATCGTAGTCGTAGAGGGTAGTGGTGGTGGAAGAGGAGGGAACGAGTCGGGTCCGGTTGGGAAGGAGTAACATTCATCAAAATCACCACATGTAGGATCACACAAATCAGTGCAAGGAATAGTAGTTGTGACATTTGTAGTATAAGTTAGATAATGTAAGAGTTTTCGAAATCGAATGGCCATAATTAGGAGACCATTGATGAGAAAAAAGAGGGAAGAAAAAACTAAGATTAGGAATAGGAAGGACTAGATTAAAGGCTGAGTATAGTTTAAGGCTTCTCCTAAGGGAAAGGGAGAGGAAAAGAAGGGTTTGTTTAACACGTTTTAGAAGGTTGCTGTGATTGGAAACAATGTTATTTTCAAATATTAGGTGTGGTAAGACACTACTATAACTTTGACGTGCAAGTGTATATGCCACTTTTTTATGCTTTACTAATATTAGTTCAACTCATTACCTATGACTTTCTAGGTTATTATGTACAAATGTACATTATATAACATTATCTTATAGCTTGTCCACTCACTCATTGATTTAAGAATAATTTTGCTATATACATTTGTGGGCAAATATTGGAATTAGGGGAGGCAAACTCAATTAATTGGTCATATAGAATGAATCTGATTTAGATGAAGAAAATACCAAAGAACGTGTTAGCGGTTTTAAGAAAACAAAAACAATCAACTGCACATGAAAAATTAATTTTACGTCTGTTGTTAAAATTTTAGTCATATATTGAGGTGGTCTTGATCAAGTTGACACAAGACACTATGGCCAATGGTTTCTAGTATTCTAGTTAGCAATCTTAGCATCACGATATCATATACTTCGTATATATTGTACCACCATGCTAACTAGATCTAAACTACTCGTTTTTTTAGTGCACCACTTTATTATTACCAATAAATTTATACCAACTTAAGATCAGCAAATTTACAAGACGAGCATTAGTTTGCAAATAAATTTTTATCGGTAACATCCCACCTCGATCGGCACCTCCATGACACCAATGCACCATAGTCGACCCTACTACGTTCATACGTACATACTGATTGATGCTTATTTTAACAGCATATCCTTTTTGTTTCTTAGCTGTTAAGATATATTTAGGAAATATTTGGTCTAGATATTATTTAGATATTATTATTTCCATATCTCTAGAATAGAGTTGCCATATTATCTTTGTTTTCCTTAGCTGTTAAACACGAGTTGGTGTAGGCTTAGGAAACTAGTTTTGTATTATTATAAATATTGGGCTCATGAAGCTAATAAGATCAAGCCAAAGTTTACAGTTTTACATGGTATCAGACGAAAGGTTTTCATACACTTCATAAACCATGGCTGGCGGTGATGATCAACCACCACCACCTCCTCCAAAAATTGAACCAAATTCTCCATATTACCTTGGTTCTCAAGATCGACCGGGGGATTTCATCACTCCCACCCGCTTAACAACAGATAATTATGACTCTTGGGCTGCCGACATTCAAACGACGTTAGAAGCTCAAAGGAAATTTGAGTTCTTGGATGGCACGATCACTACTCCATCCCCTCCTTGCACGAAGTCCAATTGGACGGCGATAAATGCAATGCTTGTTTCTTGGATTTCTAATACCATTGATCCTGATTTAAGAACAACCCTGACAAAATTTAGAGAAGCAAAATCCTTTTGGGATCATCTTAAGCAACGCTTTGCTCAAACAAACGAACCTCGCATTCAACAATTGCGTAGGCTAGATATTATTTAGATATTATTATTTCCATATCTCTAGAATAGAGTTGCCATATTATCTTTGTTTTCCTTAGCTGTTAAACACGAGTTGGTGTAGGCTTAGGAAACTAGTTTTGTATTATTATAAATATTGGGCTCATGAAGCTAATAAGATCAAGTCAAAGTTTACAGTTTTAAAGCCTATATATGACTAATCTTACGGGAACTCTGATTTCTGCATGCTTGTAAGAAATTAACAATGAAATTTGGTTGTATGTCCTTGTCATATTCTTGATCTTACAAAAGATCATTTTTAAATTTCTAAAAAATGTTACGGTTGATGAGAAAATATATCAGTATGGTGCCTAATTAGACTGCAGAAATGAGGTTGCCCGTCATATTCATTATTAAGAGAAGTAATTACCAAGCAATTACCACACTTGCATATAATCTTGGCGTAGCTTAATCAAAATTTTAGTACCTAATTGTTCATTCCCTTTAGTGAATCCACATATATATTTATGCGTGGACAAGATAATACTTTTCCAAACTTGGATATGACATGTCATTTATTTTTCAAGTATTTATTAATTTTAGTTTTTTTAATGTAATAAATTATTGGATTTCAATGATCTAGTAATCAATAGTAAACTGATATATTCTTATCAAAAAAAAAATAGTTTTCCTCTAGTATGTGAATAATAAATGCTAGAAATATGAATGTAATTTAGGGACGGAGGGAGTATACTTTTTCTAAACGCGAATCACTAAACAAAGTCAAATCAACTTATATGAATAGCGCACAAAGTCAAAGTGTGTTATCAAATTTGGTACGGATGAAGTATGATATAATTATTTAGTCGTAACATACAATAAGTCACAGTAGCTTTGAGATGTATATAATTTTACGTTTAGGTTGGCCAATTGGTATGAGAAATTGGAATAAGAATTCATACTTAAGGCCTGTTTCGATACGATTATTTTCAGTTCACTTCAGCTCTTATAAGTTCAGTTCAGTTCAGCTCAGCTCCTAATTTCCTTCTCTTATAAAATATTCAGTTCAGTTCAGTTCAGCTCAGTTCAGTCAATCAGAACAACCCCTTACAATAGCTCACCGTAATGGTCTAGAATTCTAGATAAATAGATATTGTTAAATGGTCTTACAAAAATATTTCTCTATTTATTTGTCTCACTTGGGCATTAAAAAGCATACATAAATTTCTTGCTACACTAATCAATAGTAGTAAAACTTACTCGTAATTAGGGATTAGTCATTAGTTAGATTAATCACAACTACATTTATATAATTGTTAGTTTTAACATTATTCCTATCAGCAAAAATGTTAAATAAAAATGAACCCTTTTTTTTTTTTTTTTTGTTGAGAAAATTGTTTAGATTTTCAAATACATTATAATGAAGATGAATTGAAGGATTAAATACCTATACAAGTACACGACTATTAAAAAGGTATTTTCAGTAAAATCATGGTTTAATTTGTAGGTGGAACATTTATGTCTTAAGAGATTTTGATCACAACTTCATGCGTGGTTTTGGAGATTTCACTGTAATGGATGTCATTTTCACAAAAACGTATAATCCATCTATACTATATATTAAAATGCGTTCTTAAAGAAGTTTAGGTGGCACGTGGCGCTCTTCTCAAGACGTTCCTAAAGAAGTTTAGGTGTCACATGACGCTCTCCTTATTTAAGCTTACAGGATTTTTACCTTATGGTTCTTACAAGATTTGAACCCACAACCTAAGTTTAAACTCCAACGTGTTAGCCACTAAGCTATTACCATTTACCTATTACATGCATTCAATAAAAAATAGGAAAAATTAGAAAAAATAATCCCAACTTTAATCAATTTAGGTAGAATAATCCCAACTTTCGATAATTGTGGAATAATCCGAACTTTGAGGGGTTTTCTTTATCATCAATACCGAAAACTGGTGACCGATTGAATGGTTTTTTTTCTTTTTTGGTTAAAGTGACACATGTCACAATTTAATTGGTTAAAAATAAATTAAAAAAACCAAAGTAAAAAAAAAAACCACCAGCCAAAGCCCCAACCACCCATCCAATCCGACAACCTCTCTTGCCGGACCACCGGACCTCACCCACCACTTGAGTCGCCACTCTGAGCCAAACCACCATCCCGTCCCTGAATCTCCCACGCCACCAGCCAAACCCCAAAAGCCACCAGCCCCCACTCTCGAAATCCCCTAAAACAACCACCCTACTCTCGAAATCCCCCAAAACCACGAGCCCATCCACTCTCGAAATCCCCAAAAACCACCACCCCACTCTCGAAATCCCCAAAAACCACCACCCCACTCTCGAAAATCTCTCAAAGCCACCAGCCCCACCGAAAACCCCCAAAACCACCTTGCCTAGTAGCTAAAATCGGCTACAATTTCGTTGCTGCGGCTTCGTGGCTACGGTTCCATGGCTGCGATTTCTTGGCTGCGATTTCTTGGCTGCGATTCCGTGGCTGCGCTTTCGTGGCTACGTTTTAGTGGCTGCGGTTTTGGGGTTACGGTGGTTGGTGATTTCGGTGGTTGCGTGGGGTTTCGGGGAGAGGGGAAAACGGCGACTCAAGGGGTGGGGGAGATGCGTCGGGATTGAAGGAATTCTAATCCGTGAGTATTGATTTGCATTACTGTCAAAATATATAATGTACAAGGGCTGAAGTTAAGCCACCAATTAATGCTATAAACTAGGGATTAGCTATATACGAAATATACTAGGCACTAATCTAGGAAACAATACATTTACATGGTCAAAGATATATAAGATAAGTACATATCTTAACACACCCCCTTAGTCAAAGCGGGAGGAGGACGGACACTGAGACTATCTCTGAAATCTTCAAATAATACCCGGGGTAGTCCTTTTGTAAAGATGTCCGCAATTTGGTGCCTAGACGGGACATGGAGGACTCGCACTTCACCTCTAGCCACCTTTTCACGTACGAAAAGGATGTCCACCTCAATATGCTTGGTAGTTGGTACGCTGATGTTGCACCGGATTACCCGATAGATAAATAGCACTCACATTGTCACAATAAACCAAGGTGGCCTTTTTAATCGGGCAATGTAACTCCAACAACAAATTACGAAGCCAACAGGACTCCGAAACCACATTGGCCACACCTCTGGACTCTGCTTCACAACTAGATTTGGAGAGAGTAGCTTGTCGTTTAGATGACCAAGATATCAAATTGTCACCCAAAAACACACAATATCCAGATGTGGAACGTCTTGTATCAGGACACCCACCCCAATCAGCATTTGTATATGATACAAGTGTAGAAAAAAAAGATGGATAAAGATGCAAACCATGGTCAAGAGTACCCTGTACATACTGAATGATGCGTTTCAGATCAGCCATATGAGTGTCCTTCGGATCATGCATATGCAAGCATACCTGTTGAACAACATAAGAAATATCCGGCCTTGTAAAAGTAAGATACTGTAGCGCCCCAGCAAGGCTACGATACAAGGTAGGATTCGAATAAGGGGAGCCCGAACCACTGACTTTCGGCTTTGCCTCAACAGGTGTGGCCGGAGACTTGCACGAACTCATCCCAGCCCTCTCAATAATCTCCTCATCATATTTACGTTGTGACAAAAATAATCCACCCTTATGTCTTGTCACAACAATGCCAAGAAAATAGTTTAGAAGACCCAAATCCTTCATAGCAAACTCCTTGCTAAGAAGAGCAATAATAGAACGCCTTAGAGCATTAGAGGAAGCTGTAAGAATAATGTCATCAACATATAGCAACAAATAAGCCACATTCGAGCCATCACGGTAAATAAAGAGAGAATTGTCACTCTTGCTATTAGTAAAACCAATAGAAGTAACAAAATCAGCAAAGCGCTTATACCAAGCCCTGGGTGCCTGTTTGAGACCATATAATGATTTCCGCAGCAAACATACATAATCAGGGTGAGTCTTATCACGGAAACCAAGCGGTTGATGCATATAGACAGTCTCATTAAGCTCACCATGCAAAAAAACATTCTTAACATCAAGCTGATGAATTTGCCAAGCTTTGGACAATGCCAAACTTAGCACAGTACGGATGGTAGCCGGTTTGACCACCGGACTAAAAGTCTCCCCACAATCAATGTCAACCTGTTGTGTTTTGCCATCACCTACAAGACGGGCTTTATGTCTCTCAGAAGAACCGTCAGATTTCACCTTATGAGTAAAAATCCACATAGAACGAATAACATTAACATCAGGAGGACGGGGCACCAACTCCCACGTCTTATTATTAATAAGAGCATTAAATTCATCATCCATAGCCAATTTCCAATTCGGGTCACGTAAAGCAAAAATTGGGTTACGAGGAAGAGGAGATTTCGTAACATTAGAAACCATAGTATTGAAATTTTTGTATTTCGGGTTTGGCTTAACAATACCATTTTTGCTGCGAGTGACAATAGAAGGTGGAGGAGTAGGCTGGTGAACTTGGATCTGTGGGCTAGGAGTGGATGAAGCACGTTGGGTTGCTGGATGGGTAGTTCGCAAGTGGGTCGTGGCTGATTGAACAGGCCCACGGTCCACGAGTGAACTAGTCCGCCCATCAGCAGCAACCGTGCTAGGAAGAGAAGGGGAAGATGCTGGGCCTGAGTGTTGAGTTGGGCTGCGGGTAGGAGAAGAGTGCAGCGGCCCAACTGATGAAGAAGGGGTAAGAACTGGGCCATGAGGAGTAGTTGGCCCAGGCTGGTTTTGGTCTAGAGAAGGTGACACGGGCTGGACAGGTGGGCTCATGTGTTGGATCACATAGGAGTTGAGTCCTTCATCCAAAAAATCATAAGTATGTGAGGTTGGTGTGTGTAATTTAGCAAACGGAAATACCGTTTCATCAAATATAACGTGCCGACTAATAATAATCTTATTAGAGGATAAATCATAACACTTGTAACCCCTATGATTCGGTGGATACCCCAAAAAAACACAAGGTGTAGATCGTGGTTGAAGCTTGTTAATAGTAGTGGACGAAATTAAGGGGTAACACAAACACCCAAAGACACGTAAATGAGAATAAGACGGTTTCCTTTGATAAAGAACTTGGAGAGGAGACTTATACTCTAGAAATTTACTTGGAAGAATATTGTGAAGATAAGTTGCCATATGCAATGCATGATGCCAAAAAGAAGGAGGTAGGGATGCATGTGCAAGAAGAGTGCGAATGATATTATTTAATGATCTAATTTTTCTCTCGGCCTTTCCATTTTGTGATGATGTATGTGGACAAGATAGACGGAAAGACATGCCATTAGACTCACATAATGCCCAAAAATGTCCATTATCATATTCCCGCCCATTATCACATTGAAAAGTCTTAACAGGTCGTTCAAATTGGGTACGTATTAATGCTTGAAAACCTAAAACTTTATCATAAACATCCGATTTTTTTGCTAACGGAAAAGTCCACAAAAATTTCGAATAATCATCCAAAATAAGCATATAATAACGATGTCCCGAAGAACTCAAAGTAGGAGATGACCATAGATCACTATGAACAATAACAAAAGGCATAGAAGTAGTAGTATTAGAAGAAAGAAAAGGCAACTTAACATGTTTTCCAAGTACACAAGAATGACACACATGAGCATTAGGATTTTGAGTACATTCAATGCTTTTATTACTACTAAGAGTTTTTAAAATAGAAGAGCCCGGATGTCCCAAACGATCATGCCAAGAAGAAGAAGCTAAAGCAGTAAAGGTTGATGGAGTGGAACTTGAAAAAGTGCTAGTGAGTGGATAAAGGTCCCTTGGCTATCACATCTCATTATTGGCATCCCCGTCCGATAATCCTTCACAGAAAAACCATAAGGGTCAAACTCAACAGACACACAATTATCAATTGTGAATTTCCTAACAGAAATTAAATTTTTAATGAGTTTGGGGCATGAAGGACATTAGAAAGGGACAATGGTGGGTTCGGGGAAGGCAATGTAGTATTACCACAACCACGAATTGGAATTGTATGACCACTACCAACAATAATACCATTGTGATGATTGCTCAAATTAAAATAAGACGAGAGATTACCATTAGAGGATGTCATGTGCGAGGTAGCACCAGTGTCCATATACCACGAACGATCGGGTTGGCTCAATGTCATGGTGTGCATAGCCGATTCAATATCAGTTGGAGCATACGGCATGGGCTGCTGGGACATTGTATAGGCCTGGTGAGGACGCGGGCCCAAGAGACCGGACTGCTGCTGTCTGATTGGGCCTTGTTGACGAGGAGCCCAACCTTGATTTGGGTAAGGACATGGTGGGGCTGCCCATGGTGCCCAACCCCAATTGTACTGCTGCTGCCACGAAGGAGGTGAACCACTCCACCCCTGCTGCTGGTGGTGGTGACCCCGTCCACTGCCGCCGGTCTGACCTCCGCCGGAGTTTTGTCCGCCGATTCCGGAGCCGCGACCACTACTGCCAGTGTGCTTGCGGTTGCCGGATTTTTTTGGATTTTTATTTTTGTTACGGGAAGTCCCAGACTCACTCCCTGAATTAGCGTCTCGCAACGAACCTGCCACCATGGCCGTGGCTGACGCCGCCTTCTTTGCTAAACCTGCCTCTTCCAATGTAAGCATGGAACGGGCCTGATAAAATTGCGGTAGTGGATTGCTCTGACGAATCAAAGTAGCCACACCATTGTATGAGTCGGTTAGACCCGAAACCAATTGAAGAACGAGACGGTTGTTGTCTACCGGGGCCCCTACATTCTTCAATTGATCGGAGAGGCTCTTAAGATTCTGACAATACGCTGAAGCGTTAGGAAAATCTTCCATATGAGTGTTAGAAAACTCATGTTCAAGAGCCACAACACGAGAATTCTGATTGTCTTGAAAGATGTCACGCAAACGATCCTAAGCCTCCATTGTTGTGGAATCAGGTTCAATAATGGTGTTTAACAGGTCTCTAGAAATCGTGGAATAAATCCACCCAAGAACCGTTGCGTCCAAAGTCAACCAGAGCTCCTTATCCGCATCGGTTGAAGGGGCAGCGACCTTTGTCTTCGGAGCAATAGTATGGTTGAGAACCTTGTGAGATCGAGCGTGTACCTTGAATAGTTCCGCCCAAGTATAATATGCAACGTTCTCCATTTCAAGGGTAATGGGGATGTTGCTTTTGATATTAGACACAGCAAAAGCCGGGTGAAAAGAACTCTTGTTGTCCGACATTGAACTGTGAATGAGGAGAAGAGAAGAAGATAGATGGAAGAGAAGAACAGAGAAGAGAAGAGATGGCGGAACAAGATGAAAGAGTGCAGCGGAAAAAATACCCTAAGCAACTGACACCATGAAGGAATTCTAATTCGTGAGTATTGATTTGCATTACTGTCAAAATATATAATGTACAAGGGCTGAAGTTAAGCCACCAATTAATGCTATAAACTAGGGATTAGCTATATACGAAATATACTAGGCACTAATCTAGGAAACAATACATTTACATGGTCAAAGATATATAAGATAAGTATATATCTTAACAGGGATGGACTATGGTGGTGGAGGTTAGGGTGTATGGTGGGGTGGCGTGCAGGGATGTGGTGGTGGTGGTTAGGGTACGGTGGATCGGTGGGGGAAGGGGTAGCTGGGTAGTTTTCCCTTTTTTTTTTTTTGAAATTTTTTTGGACCAATCAGGTTTTGACACGTGTCAAGTGACCTGATATTATAGGTCATTGACTTTTGTTGACCGGTTCGGGATTAAAGAAAAAAAAGACTCTCTAAAGTTCGGATTATTCCAAAATAATCCAAAGTTGGGATTATTGTACCAAAATTGAAGAAAGTTGGGATTATTATTTCTAATTGGGCCTAAACAATAAATATTAATAAAGATTTTTATCATGGAAGTAACTCGGGGCATCACTAGTTTTTTATGAACAAGTGTATAATTTTTTACTTAGTACAAATGTACTGTACAATACGCAACATTCAATGTGTAATGAATAGACATAAAAATTCTCTTGTTCTACTTTGTACTATTTTTGTTTCATACATGTGCCAATCATTCTTATTGATTCATTTTTATTAAGCTCCAACCACCTATTTAATATTTATAAAATAATTGAACATATATATAGGATGAGTGGCATATATACATGAAGTACAACTAAAAAGGGACTATGCATTGATTATTACACTAAACTCATTTGTATAATGGTATTCATATTGGTTCCTTTCTAAAATCTTTATTATGTTTGAAAATGTTTGTTTATCAATGGGACAAAAGTCAATTACGCCATTACTTGCATACTTGCTTGCAACATGAAAAAGTCTCGTCTTATGATAAAGAGTTTTAATATTCTGCACAATAGTTACCAAGTTAACTTTGAGTATAGTAGTATTACCCTATTTTAGCAGTGCTTTAAATAAAAAGTGATTTTTTTTCACCTTTATTTTTTAACTAGGATGATATAATGTTTGAATGTTCCAAAACTAACTGAAGTCTCTTAGGGCTTGTTTATACTAACTGAATTAATCTAAATTCAACTGAACTGATTAGAGCTGAACTGAACTGAATTGAGCTAAGCTGAAATGAATATTTTATGAGAGAAGAAAATTAGAAGTTGAACTGAACAGAACTGAACTGATTGGAACTGAACTGATTGGAGCTGAAATGAACTGAACTGAAATTAAGCTGAAGTTAACAGGCCCTTAAATAGCAAACCGTTGGAAAGCTAGTTGAGTATAGTGGGGGACGACCGGTTTAATTACATATTATACAACTCTTATCAGATAATGAATGTATGATACATATTTAATTGATCATTAATACTTTACACGTTTTGAATTATGAATAATAATATAGCTAACCTCACGTATTAATGTATATTGTCTTAAACTGAATTTATCTATCTTTTGAAAGTGTAGTATAAATTCGATCCAAATTCTTAATTTTTTCAAACATACAATTCCTAATATAAAGTTATTTGTGATAAAAACATGTCCATGAGTATGAGCTCGTTGTTCATTGTAACAAAACCATCGATTTGCATTAATCATGTTATTAGTGCAAATTTAAACAGGCAATCATTTTTGGCTTCAAGGACAAAATTTCATCATAATCTTAGCTCCTCAAGTAAAGGTAAAAGGTATGTACGTACTATGGTTAATTAATAGTAGTAATGATTAATGAGTTTATGATGATATAGTGTTCAATAGTATGATTTAACTAATTATTTGTTTCATTTTAATGATTATGCATGAAGGATGCCTATGTTGACTGTTAGAAGCAATATTGATCCACCACCCAATGGTTTGAGTCCCTCTCTTGGTGGTTTTGTTAAGTAAGTTAGCTTTTCATTATCTTTGGTTTGTTTCTTAATAATCATTAAGATAAATCCATTTCAAAGATGAGCAAATCCATCCATTCCTATCTAAATAAAGGAAACCCTAAGCTAGATGAATAATTTATCTATACAATCATCGGAATCCGTGTTTTTTTTTAAGGACAATGCTTATAAACAAGGATAAGTCTAAGAAATTCTTGTATTATTTTTACTGAAATGGTAAATACCTTGTACCTTACATTTTTTTGGGTATGTAACAATTAATGCACAACAGGAAAGTTAAAAGCCAAATAACAGACGTTATTAAAGCATTTTTGCAATCACTATTGAGGTTCTTATGGAACAAGTGGGGGCCAATGCTCATAAACATATTGATGAAAAGTAAGTGATTACTTGTACGTAATTTTAATTTGTAAGTAGTTATTGGCCCGGGCAATGCCCCGGGTCATTATAACTTTAATCGAACTATATATTTTTTTTTTTTGCTTGTTTGTCATTGATAGCTTAAGTAATGTTTTTTTTATTTATTATTTATTTATTTAATATGATAGCTTAAGTAGTTCGTTTCTTGTACGAGTTGGTTTGATTATAAGAATAATTTTTTTACATTAAAATCATAATAATATGATAAATCAAATCTTTATAAATTTGATGTCAAAATATATACTACTCCATAATGCACAAAAATCTTTTACTCTATGATTACAATTTTATGAGTTAATGCTCCAAGGGAAATTGTCATGCATATGAATAGTTTATCAATTAAACTTAATATAAATACATGAAAGTTAATGCATAGAGTTTTTCAATAATTAATGCATGGTATGATTTGGCGACGACACAAAAATATTTTCATTTCAATAAACCTGCAATGTTTTCATTTCAATAAACCTGCAATATTTTATTTTTTTTAGAAAATCTGCTGCATTTTCACAAAAATAAAAACTGTTGTATTTATATATATAAAAAAAATTGATGACAAGCTTATTAATATAAAGGTAGAGTTTAAGGATGAATATACAAAGTTTTTGAGTCTTTAATTACATAACTTCAAATTATACAAAGTACAAATAATGGCAAAAAGCCACACAACAAACGAAACGAGAGGGGATCAATTCATTCACTTGTGACTTGTGAGATCTGATATTTCAAGTGTCTCATCAATAACAATCGCCAGTTGATCCAAACCAAGTCTTTCATTCCTACAAAACACAAATAATGCAATAGAATAATTACATCACATATATTATATATAGCAAAGTCGTAAAATAAAGAAATATAATAATTTACCAAACAAACACATTAATAAAAATAAAAAGAGGAATTTTAAAAAAAAATCAAACTAAAACAAATTTACCAGCTTAATCAAACCGAATAAAAACAGAATTTAAAAAATTAAAAAAACGAAAACAGCTTAATTAAAAATATAGAAATGATATAAAAAATATAAACGACAAACATAATTTTAGACAAACGTATTTTTAGAATTAGTGAAATAAATGATTGAAATGAAAACAGGAAGTTTTTTTGTAAAAAAAAAAAAGAAAAAAAAGAAGCGAAATTGATTTAGATCTATAACAAAAAAAATTACAACAAACTAAACTGAGTTGGTGAGAAGATTGAGTGCACTGATGAAATTAGATCTACCAATTGATGATAAAGAAAATAATTAGAAAATGAAACCCTAGGGCCTAGGCTAAGTGGGTTGAGCTAGTGGGCTGGTTGAGGACTTTGAGACTTTTTTTATTTTTTTTATATTTAACGGGTATTCGGGTACCCGCGAATTAGGAAAGTTGACCCATGTCCCGACCCGCGAAATTGCTAATTTTGCGGGACGGGTACCCGACCCGAAAAAACAGAAAAAATAGAAAATTTCCCAGCGGGTTTTTTACGGGTCATCGGGTATTCGGACGGGACAACCGGGTCGGATTTTTTTGAACACCCCTAACAGACATATGATTTTGGTTTAGACAATTATTTATATCTGCGTATTAATTTATCGATTGTGTTATTATTTTATTTGTGTGAGTGCAGTTAAAAGAGATCAAGAGTTACAGATGGTAGAAAATGTGGAGGGGGGATTTGAAAAGATAACAGACGGGGCGGAACACATGGCCGAAGACATTGTCACGGGAAAGGAATTGAAAAAGGCGGTAGGCGGGGTGGAACACATGGCTGAAGATATTGTCGTCGAGGCGGAGGGATTGGAAAAGATGGCTGATGGGGTGGAACACAAGGCTGAGGATGTTGTCAAGAATTTTCCAGGAAAATCACTTAAAGGGGCTGCTAATTTCATTGAAAATGCAACGGAGAAGGTAGTCATTGACAAGGATTTCTTCCATTTATAGTTTCATTTTTATAGTAATAATAACTAATAATAAGCTTTAAAACAAGTGCTTGAATCATTTTATCCTTCCAATAGAGTAGTATTTAAGACACACAACTAGACTATGAAACCAAACATATAATTGTGTTTACTAATTACTATATACTCCCTATGTTCCTTTTTATTGTGTACTAGTGTCTTATGTTTAATTTATATTTGAATTGGAAGTTATTTCTTTTATTATATACTCGTATTTAAAGTACAGTTTGATGTTTAGATTCCATAAGAGAGAAACATAATAAGTATCAACATTCTAGAAGTATAAATGTCATCAACTCAAAAGGTTGAGGGAGTATCATTTGAAAAGACAAAAAATACATGCATGTATAAATACATATACAACGGTATAATCTCTTCATCCAAAATTAATAATTGCATTTGGACCACATGGTAATCACTTTGAACAAAGTACTATGTACTATACATACTTCATTTGTAAAATTGTAAATATGCATATACTTACATTTATCTACTACGGAGTAAAAAGTAATTATGGAGTACATGATATATACATTGAATATTTATAAATTATTTTACAAACATATTTATTGTATGTAACTTTTGGAGATTAATTTCTGGGGTATTTTTGTTTTAAAAAAAAACCCAAAAAATTTCACCTACTGACATATATAAACTATGTTCCAATTATAACCATTGACATATACTCCGTACTTGTTTATATATATATATATATATTTTTTTTAGGAACCGTACTTGTTTATATAATTAAACTAATCACGTACTAAAAATATTACACAAAGAGTACATGTTCACAATTCTTTTTTACTGTATCAATTTTCAGTTTTTAAATTATAAATTACCCTTATTACCTTATACAGATTATTTTCTTATTTCAAAATAAGTATGTATGTAATAATTTTTCTATTCATGCAGATTAAAGATATAGAAGATGAAGCAAGCAAAAAAATTGAAGAAAACAAAAATAATGCAAAGTGTTGGGAAACATTTTTTTCTTGCCCTATATCTCGTTTTTTCAAATTTTAAAGAGTACATTTATAGATTTTAACTAATAAATATATACCCTTTTCTTCAAAAATAAATAAATAAATAAGTAAATATATACCCCTCCGTTTTTATTTTTGTTTTTTTTTTTTTTTTTTTAACCACCTCTGTTTAATTTTACCTTCCTACATACATTCCATTTTGATATTTTAATTTTATTTTCCTTCTAACCGACCATATTATCTAAAGTTCTATATAACAAATTAACAACGTATACTCTATAAACCATGAGAGTTGAGGTCTGCCTAAAGAGGAAACTCAACATTCGATCTGCATAGGACTACAAACCAAAAATAAATAATATTTCAAAGGGATCCTTGACAAAAGACAAGTATTCCTAATATTTTAAAACTAATAACAACAAGCGATAATTACTAATTTACAGGGCGTACACTATAAATTTTAATTTCTAACGTACATTGTACATATACTCCGTATATACACAAATCAGATATCCAATATTTAACAAGGGTTGAGCACAAATTGTATATCCGATACAAAATCACTTACAAATTGAATGTCCAATATTTGAAATTGGCTTGGCGATGAGTTCTAGGCAGTGCAGCATGGGCGCGCGAGTTGCTCTGGCAATTAGCCAGGAATTAGGGCCTTTACTCGGGTGAGCCTACCTCGGTGAATCGATCTGTGGTGCTTGCATTGAGAGTTTGGCGCCACTTCTTTTATTGTCATATAATTTTGGGATGAAACCTCCTTGGACATGTGAAGTGGACTATTTCTCTTACTGTGAGTTCGACCCAGATCCGTATCTAATGAGTATGCATATTTGTCAAAGTGTGTATATATTGTACATATACATTTTTATATTCCTCCAATAAGATTAATAGGCCAGGCTTCAGATCAATATACAATTATACAACATCATGTTGTACCTATCTCCCCTATTTCTAAGTATTAAATTCATAATATATATAATATTGTTTCACTGTCTACAATACGTAATATGCAAAGTCTTTGCATGAATAAATAATTGATCATTAATTCTTTGCACGTTACTCCTTACTAAAATAGTCTTAAACCTCACATGCATTTCCTTAATCTAGATTTATTTGCTCAAAATAAAGGTTATATATATTCCAAAACCTCACCTCAAACTACTCTTAATTTCAAATTATTCATATAATACAAAGTACGAAATACACAAAAGTCCATGAATATGAGTTCATTCGTATCAACAAAACCACCAACTTGCATTAATCTTCATAATATTAGCTTAAACTCAAACATCAGAAAATCTTCTATAAGCTCAAAATCAAGATTTCATTATAATCTTAGCTCCGTGAGACAAAGTCAAAGGTATGTGTTTAATTAGTTAATTCATCATGAATATTGAGCTTAATTATAGTCTTGATTGATAGAATATATTTCTAATTATTTGGTTTGTGTTTGATTATGATTGTTATGCAAGAAGGCAGCGTTCGTTAACTGTTAGAAGCAGCATCGAACCAGTTCCGCCACCACCAACCCCTTCAAGTCCCACGCCTGCTGGATTTCCTGGGTACGACTTTTTGTCTTACTCAATTTAATTTCATGATAACTGCATCCGTCTCAAACATAAGTAGATTAATCTGTTCTATAGTAGTAAAATGGATTGTGGATATGAATATCATCCCTGAGAACTCACTCACTAAGATATACATCCTCCGTTTCTTTTTAGTTCATTTAGTTCGTTTATCAATGCACAAATTTAACCGTTAATATGTTAAAGTGTAATGCTATATGCAACCCTTAGGGCTGCATATAAGCATTTAGTATACACAAACTTTTAAAAAAATCGGGTGTACAATAATTATTGTACATCCATCATAAAGACAGCTTAAAGTGATTAAAAGTTACATTTGAAATGAATAAAAGTTACCTCAATATGCGTAAAAGTAACTCAATTCAAATAAAAATTTTCTGCACTTTATTAGTAAAAAATCACATTTTAAATGACTAAATATCAATTATTAGTGATTGAATAATATAATTAAATTACCTTTATAAAACTTTTCTTGTTGTCTATTTATATAAAAATTGTATTATGTTTAAAGTTACCAAAAAAACATGCAAAAAAGTTACCCTAAAATTAGCTAAAAGTTACCCTTATACTGCTCGATATACACTATTATTAGTGTAAACCGGATGTATACAAAAGTTTTTGTTTAATATACTTTTTTTTTAGTGTTAATAAGTTGAGAATTTATCGACAATTCACAAGTAAATCGGTGTAATAAATGTTTATTTAATGTATATTCTTTCCACTTTTAGCTTCTTATATGTAGCCTATATCTTTTTTTCCTATCTTTAGTTACCGAATACCAAAAATTAATTCAAAAATATACATCGTGATGAATCTAACAAGACCCCACATGACTATATTTTTCATTACGTATAAATCACAAAACATATCAAAGTGAATTGTGTAAATAGTGCTAAAGTCTAAACGTGTCAACTAAAAAAAAGGTACTCCTATATACGAATTATAATACAAGTACAAAAGTCTAAGAAAATCTCCTTTATTTGTCCGAAAATAATTAATACATTCAAATTTTACACACATATATGTCGATGACTCGATGTACTAGTTTGAACTTATTTTTATATAATTACGGTGTATATTATAAAACTTTATATTAATACGTAATGTATTTAACAACCTACTTCAAGATAAAAACATACAAAGTATTTATAATTTTATATTACGTTATTAATAAAAATACAAAGTAATATTTTATGATAAAAATAGGGAGTATAAGTATTTATATTACGTTATGAGACACAAGGAGTATTAATTCTAATTATTTGTTTACTTGACATGTTTTATGGGTGACAATTAATCCACAGCAGGAAAGGATGGATAGCAGGAGCAGTCCTAGCATTATTGCTATCATTCTTGAAGGACAAATGGGGGCCTTTGTTCTTATTAAGAAGTAACTATTATCACCAACTTTCTACTTACATTGTTAATTATAACATACTCTTTCTGTCCGAAATTAATTATAATATTGATAACGTGAAGACTGAATGTATAAACAAAAAAAAAACGCGATTGCAGAGGAAGTTGACCAGAGATTACAGACGGTAGAAGATGTGGCGGAGGGATTGGAAAAGTTGGCGGATAAGGTGGAGCACATGGCTGAGGACATTGGCGAGAAACTTCCAGAAGGATCATCACTTAAAAGGGTAGCTACTTTGATTGAGGATGCTGCTGAAAAGGTGGAATTAGCTGCTCATTTAACTGATACAGCCATTGACAAGGTGTTTATTTAATTTCTAAACTGCCCATGCTTTTTTATTTCTGTTATGTCTTTTCTTGTGTAATAAGTTATAATTACGTACTTAAAGGTTAAAATACAATAACAATAATAACACAACTTGTGTTGAACGTGACAGATAATATGGATCGGAGTAACATATACTTCTATTCATAGCTCATAATAAACATTATATTAAGTCAATTATTTTGTAGTCAATAGGGGTGGGACTTCGGTCTGGCAGTTCGGTTTGACCTCAGTTTGATACGGTTTCGGTTTGAAACGGTTCGGGTTAAAACGGTTTCATTTAGACGGCGGGTCGGTTCAGTTCGGTTTTGATTAGTCACAGGTCGGTTCGGTTTCGGTTTATTTTTGTACGATTTCAATTCGGTTCGGGTCATAAACGGTTCGGTTTATAAACAGTTCGGGTCATAATCAGATCGGTTAGAAACGGGTTGCTTCAGGGGCGGATTTACTCGGGTCAATGCCGGTTCGGTTTTTAAACGGTTCGGTTAATAATCGGGTCGGTTTGAAACAAGTCGGTTCAGGGGCGGGTTTACCCGGGTCAATGCCCGTTCGGTTTATAAACGGTTCGGGTCATGATCTGACCGGTTTGAAACGGATCGGGTCATGATCTGACCGGTTTGAAACGGATCGGTTCAGGGGCGGTTTTACCGGGTCAACGTCGGTCCGGGTTCATATCGGTTCGGGTCATGAACGGATTATTTTAAAATGGGTCGGTTCAGGGGCGGGTTTACCCGGTTTAATGCTAGTTCGATTCATATCGGTTCGGTTTATACTCGGTTTGGTGCTAAAATCGTTCGGGTTAGTTTGGTAATCGGTTAAATTGGATCGGATTGAAATCGAGTTCTAAAAAGTGGTTTTGACCGGTTAGCGCGTTTTGTTTTATATCAAGTTGGGACTAGTATTTCCATTTCATTAGCGGGTCGGCATAGGTTGGTGAAAAAAATAATGGATCGAGTAGAAATTGGGTTTTAAGAGATTTTTGACCGGTTAGCTATTTTCGTTTTATATAAAGTTGGGACTTCGTCACTTTATTTTCAGACATCGGATTATATACAATTACACAAATCTTCATTTATTCAATTATTCTATATCATGTTAATATGTTATGTTTCAAGTTTGGTTATACTCTTGTTGTTGTTTATTCGATATTATCATATTAGTCTATTACAAATTTATAATGTATTATTGTTTCATTATTAAATATATATTTTTAGGTTATCAGCTTCTTGTTGGATTGTTTTAGATATCGTGTCATGACCATGTTTTGATGAGTTGCTACTTTGAATACGATAAATCGATTCAGATATCAGATTATATAGAATTACAGAAATTCTCATTCATTCTATATCATGTTAATGTGTTATGTTTCAAATTTGGTTATAGTCTTGTTGTTGTTTATTAAATATTAGTCTATTACAAATTTATAAGGTATTAATGTATTATTGTTTCATTATCAAATATTATCAGGCTATCAGCTTCTTGTTTTAAAGATCGCGTCATAACCATGATTTGATGAATTGGTACTTTGAATACGATAAATCGATAATTGATATTGTAATAAACTAATAATTTAATGTTACGGAACTATATTTGGATGTTTAATTAAAATCACGATTATTCAATTTCCCATTAGTCTAATAAAGTAATAATTGACAATTGTTTGTAACTATTCCATAATTTTGGTGTTAAAGTTATATTGTTGAATTACTTTGTTGTCTTACCCTCTCTAATCACCTTTTAAGATTACGTGCCTACAAGGCTGCAACATATATATGTTGCAACTTGCAAGTTAAAGAAAACGGGTGGGGAAGTAGAAGTATTCAATTAGATCGATCATCAACTGTTTTAAGTTTTAATAATCAGATACATTTATCGATTATCTATACATACCAATGATAGTATGATACCAATCGTACCATACATTATTATTTATTACATATACTGATATACATATAACTAATATACATTAAATATGTCATATTGAATCAATTCCAATTTCCAAACATTTGTGTTTCTTACAATTTATAAGTTACATAAAGTTAAGAGTACAGTAGTGTTTTTATTAGTACGTAGCTATGAATAAAAAAAAACATATTATCCAAATCCATTATCCCATGATCCGTGTCACCGTCTTATATTAAATATCAGCCATTGATTTGCATGTCATCTAACGACCTATCATCGCACACATTCCAATTCACGATCCGTGTGTTTTCTTTTTCACCAATCAGATCACTCTTACAATCGTCTCTTTAGTACTCTTTTTGATTTCTCTCTCGTTTTCTTAATCCTCTTCTGTAATATTATCAATTTTTTGAAGCCATGGCTGATAATATGCTCACTGCTCTCTCGTTTTCTCTCTCATCTCCTCTTCCTTCTTCCTTTCTTATTCTTCCTTCTTCTCCCTTCTTCCGTCTATGTTCTCCTTTCTTCCATCTCGTTTCTCTGTCTCCGTCCACCGGCACCACGCACGACGGTTTTTATGGTCAAATTCGACCACGAAACTCTAGATCTAGTTGTTTCATGATCGAATTTGGCCTTTTCAAACCAAATTCGAGGCCAAATTCAGGATTAATATATAAGGTGTTTTCGTTCTTCCTTTTTTTATTTTCTGTTTTTCTTTTTAATTTTTTTTCAAGTTGTGGGCAACGGAGGGGGCCGAGTTAGGGTGGGTGCGGCGGCGGTTAGACTGGGTTCGGGTGGGTGGGGAGGGAGGATTTTTCGAGGGAGGGAGTTTTATGGTGGGTGAGCAATTAGAGTGAGTTGGGGGGTTTCGAGGATGTTGGGTTTCGTGGGGGTGGGTGGGGTGGGGTTATGGTGGGTTTGGGTTTTTTTTTCGATTTTTTTGTATGGGGTGGGGTGGGGTGTGTTACGGTGACGGTGGTAGGTGTGGTTGGGGTTGGGTCTTTTTTTTTTTTTTTTTTTTTTTTACAGTGACGGTGGTGGGTGGGGTGGGGTGGGGTTTGTTAAGGGGGTGGGGTGGAGTACGTTTTGGTGATGGTGGTAGGTGGGGTGGGGTATGGGTCTGGGTTTTTATTATTTACGGTGACGGTGGTGGATGGGGTTGGGTAAGGTTTGGGTCTGGGTTTTTTTATTTACGGTGGGTGGTGGGGTGGGGTGGGGTGGGTTACGGTAATTATGGTGGGTGCGGGGGTGGTGTTAGGGTGGGTCTGGGTTGACGTTGGTGGGGTGGGGGTGGGTTACGGTAACGGTGGTGGGGTGGGGGTGGGTTACGGTAACGGTGGTGGGTGGGGGTAGTGTTAGGGTGGGTCTGGGGTGACGGCGGGGGTGGTGTTAGGGTGGGTTACGGTGGTGGGTGGGTGGAGGGTGGTTGGATTGGGTGGGTGGCCAAATTTTTTCATTTTTTTATTTAATTTATAACTCCTAATTTAGTTATACAAGAATATAATTTTAATTTTATAATAGCAAAAAAATTTACAAATTTAAATCAATAATTATATGTAAAAAAAATTGTACTGTTAAATTACATTAAACATCAAATATATTTCGTGGAATTCTAACAAATTGTTAAAGGCTGTAAATAGTTCAATTTGAATGGAACGGGTTGTAAACGGTTCGGTTTAAATAGTTTGTAATCGGATCGGTTTAAACGGGTTGCGGTTTGAAAATAGTTCGGTTTAAACGGTTTAATGGGTTATAACAGTTCGGTTTAAACGGTTAGCGGGTTGTAAATGATTCGATTTAAACGGTTTTTTCCTACGGTTTAAACAGTTTCGGTTTATAAACGGTTCGGTTTAATTAGTTAGCGGGTTAACATTAATCGGTTCAAACGGTTTCGGTTTATAAACGGTTTGGTTTGTTATTGGTTTACGGTTCGTAACGGGTTAACATTAATTGGTTCGGTTCGGTTTCGGTTTGACATTATACGGTTCAGTTCGGTTTTCGGTTTAAAATTAGCGGGTTATAAACGGTTCGGTCCGTGATGGTTCGGTTCGGTAACGGACGGTTTTACGGTTCGGTTTGAAAAGTCCCACCCCTAGTAGTCAATGATATACAAGTAATTGATTGTGGTAGTAGACTAACCACTTCAAAAATGCTGATATCAACCACTACTCTTAAATTAAGTGTACATTTAGGATAGCCTGTTTTACATTTACTGAACTAAACTAATTGGAGCGGAACTAAACTGAAATTAAGTTGTAATAAACAGACCCTTAATTCTATCACACTAGAGGTTAACTTATCAACTTGCTTATATCTCGATCAATTTATGATTCTTGACTTAACTAGAGTTATTTGAACACCTTTCAATTGTAAATTGAACTTAAATTTACTTATTTTTAACTCTAATTTGAACTTATCTTCCTAATTTAAAAGCTAAGTGAACTGAATGAGACTTTATACTTTTTTTTTTTTTGGTGTTTAGAGAGCCACAAGGGCGGGGGTGAGAATCGATCTCAGGATCTCCTGAAATCGGGAGGGAAGCTCTAACCACTTGAGCTATCCCTCACTCTCATGAGACTTTATACTTCATGGAGTACTAATTATTAGAGCTTATCAACATTTTTAAAAGCTTTGTATTTCTATGGTAGTCATTGTTTTGTTTTTTTTTTTAACATCAAAATTAATTATAAATCATTTATCTAATTTTTAATATTAATTTATTAATTTATAATTTTTTTTATAATTTTCACAATTAATTTATGAAATTTAGTTTTATTATTACTGAAATTAAAAAATAATTCGTAAATTAGTTATTAAAAGATAAAGAATAACAAATATAAATAAATAAAAACAAAAAAAATAATTTATATTTAATTTTGATATGAAAATCAACCAATAAAATAGTATAATGATAGTCATTTTAAGGATGACTACTATAGAATTTTTAGTATGTATAACTTTCAAAGCTTTAATTTTTATTTTTTTTACTAACATTTTAAAGTTTTTCTATATATTTTTTAATTATTGCGTGTTCATATTATGTATACGTATTTAATTATCGATTATTTACTCATGCAGATTCAAGAATTAGAAGACCAAGTGGATTCGTATGCAAAGTCAGAAAAAACAAAAGCAAGTCAGTCAATTGAAGAAAATAATACAAGTAATAATAGCAAACCAGCATCATAAAATCTATATTGTTATTGTTAATTATTCGATTTAATGTTATTTGATGTTTTGTACTTCCTACTGGTTATATAAGTACTACTATTGGTTGTGTGATACTCAAGTCTCAAGTGTATGTAACATTTTCTTAAGAAAAATCATTGACATACTTCAGTATGTAGTTCGTAGTACTTCACTTAACTTTTTTTTTTTTTTTTTTTTTGGAACGGCTCTAACATATACGTAACAGTGTAAGACTGTTTATGGCCTGTGAATTGTGATTTATAATTTCCTTTTTTCCACAATTTTTTATCTTAAACGTGCATATTGTGCATTGAAGAACAATAAAACAACACAAATGGCTAAGCCAAATTTACATGAATCTTTAACTCATTTAAATATGTACTCTATCATCAATAAACACGAAGGAATCCTTTTTGATAGAGAATATCCATTGAATATTCTCATCCTAGGTTTAAGATATATTTTGTATAAGATTATCTTTGATATCTATACATATCTTGTGTTATCTAATATAATTAGGTTTCTCATTGTAACCCTATAAATATTGATCAATGGAAATCACTCTGATCGAGGAGTTTTCCATTGATCAATATTTATAGGGTTATGAGAAACCTAATCATATTAGATAACACAAGATATGTATAGATATCAAAAATAATCTTATACAAAATATATCCTAAACCTAGGATGAGAATATTCTATGGATATTCTCTATCACTTTTGATTAGCTCGACACCATTAAATTTTAATAATGTATAAGTCACTGGAAAAGTGGAAAAATATATGAAGGTATAAAATTAGAGATTTATTGTACCAGGTACGACTTAAAGATGAGCATAATTGGGAGTCAATTGAGAACATTGAGTAGAAGGAGCAATGGGGGTGCCAAGGAGGCAACTATGGCAATGGAATTAGGAGAAGAGGCTGGAAGAGGAAGAGTGCTGGTTGGATGAGAGGTAAAAAGGGGGAGGAGATCATTTTTATTTTTATTTTTTATTTTTTATTTTTTACACCAAAAAAGCATTATATTAATCATAAAACAAATTACACACCAAAACATTAGGGGTAGAACCATACAATCTCTTTCTATTAGGAAACCAAAAATGTTCGGAGAAAGAATTAGTCAAAAGTCTAAATCAAAAGTTTGTCCATATTAAACTATTTAGATATAATTAGTTTAATTTGTATAATACTTGGAAATCGTTAAATTATAATAAAATTTTCAGGTTTGTTAATTATGTTGCACTTCCTTTAGGAAAAAAAAAAAGGCCAACGCACAATTTAATCATTAACATCAATTTTTAAATAATACGCATACACTGGTAAATTATACAAATAAATGTTTGTATTATGAAAATACTCCCGCATTTACTGAATAAAGGCATAGTTTAACTAAGTAAGCATGCTAACGTATGAATTTTACCATTAATATTCATACATACGTTATTTCTATAATAAAATTTATGTTATTAAAATATAAATCAATAGTAATTTAACAACACTTTACATATAACATTTGAATTCTATCAAATATTTGTATACATATACAATTAAAGTTAATAAATAATTAATTAAATAGTGTAAAAAGTAAAATTGTGTAATATATGTTTTGAAGTAAAGAATGTATACATTTAGACTAACTTTGGTGCTTATTTGACATTGTCACAAATTTGTTCTTAGGTGCATTTAAAAAAAAAAAAAGAAGAAGAAGAAGAAAATATACTAATACAATAGATAGAAACTTGCAAAAATGCTACTTTGTGTGTGTGTGTTTTTTTTTTTTTTAATTGTTAGAAAAAACCTTTTAAAATCACTATTTTGTGATAAAAAAAACCTTTTAAAACCTTTTTGTTTTAAAAAATCTACCACGTTTATTTTATTTTATACTTGTGAAAGGAAATCTATTTACTTAATTACCCTCTTGTTAAGCTTATTGCACTCTTGTTGGGTGTCTACCTATAAGGCTATAACCTATGTGCAATAAGCCAATAATAGGTTATAGACTTTTAGGTAGACACCATATCCAACTTACAAGTCTTTTACCTTTTGCTACCCCACTCATCAAGTCATCATATCCATTCATAATCTGGAAGTTATTTCAACATCCCAATATTAATTTATCAATTCAAATTGTTTGATAAAACATCAAAAAACCTAAAAAAATCAACCTTTTACCCATGGTACTCTAAACCTACGCTCTATATCCCATTATATTTGTATATTGATTTGAAACTTGTGTGTTGTTTTAGACCTTTTTGGATATTGTGTCGTCTTTCTTTTTGTAAAGCTTTCCAACCAAACCAAAAAACCTTCCACACAAATTCACTTCTTGTAATAGGATCTGCTTATGAACACTTTGACTTGATCGGCCTTTACAAGCCTTGACTAAACCTGACACTTTCTCTTGTTGCCTATAGACATGAGTGTTCTCAAGAAGCTTCCATACTTGTGTTGCTCCTTGTTGCGAGCCACTCAAATACCTGGCTTGCACCTTCGTTGCTTCTATACGAGTAACGAACCCAGTATCAAAACACTCAGAACCGTGGCAACATTTTTCTAAATATGTGATAGAGTATAAAACATATTTCCCTAAACTTCAATTATCAGCTTAAGTTTTTTATTGAGATAGTTTACTAGCATGGTATCAGAACCAGCGTGACACAAATGTTACAAATTCGAATCTCATCCACCCTTATTTTCAAATGGAATAATATTAAGTGCGGGCGGCTGAGTATGAGGTAAGCCCTTACAACATCCACATTTCAAGTCCAACGGACTCTCGTGTGAGGGGGCATGATAGAGTATAAAACATATTCTTAGACCTCAATTATATATGACTAAGATTCTGCCAAAGCCAACCACTCTCAATAAGAATCGAGTTTGTATTACACACTTATATCCCTTTTCTAAATTCTCTAAAAACTGACATTTTACACAGTACAATGTTTAAAAAACAAATTTCCGAATTCCAAATATTTTCCTAACATTACCATCATTAGATGATTTGAACTATCAATCTCACACAATATATCCATGGATTCATCCACCCACATGATCTATCGTTAGAGTTACACCATTATTGTTTTAGTAGCCGACTCACTCCTCATTACTCATCATTTACTCAATTCAATCTCTCCCTCATTATGCCACGTAATACTCTTCCTCCGTATACGTTACACTGAATCTGCCCCTTTTTAAAAACCGACTAACGGCTACATTTCTCCTTTTTTTTTTTTCAAATTCTCTCTCAAATCCCTCTTCTTCTTTTTGGATTCTTCCCACTTTCTCTCTCTTCTCTCTTTGTTTCAATTTCCCTCCATTTGCAGGAAATCTTCGATCTTCAAAGCCCAAGAATTTACCCCCAATTTGATTAGGGTTTTGCAAGATCAAGAATGGAACTTCCTCAAGAACTCGATGATTTCATCAAAAATTCAATCGACCATACAATGGGACTTTCTTTACCCAATGAATGCCTCAAATTGAAGGTTCAATCGCTTGAAACATCAAATCATCTTCTTCGGAATCAGTATTTAAGTCTACTCTCGAAATTGAAGCAGAAAGAACAAGCCCTTGAACTTGCTAAGGTTTGTTTTACAATTTTTTCCTTTTTTTTTTTTTTTTTTTTTTTGTGGTTTAGGGTTTTTGTTTCTGGGTTTTGATTTGAAATTCTGGGTTTTGATTTGAAATTCTGGGTTTTGATTTGGAATTCTGGGTTTTTGTAGGGTGAAGCGTGTATGAATGCCCAAGCAATCAAGAAATTTGTGGAGGAGAATCAGAAATTGGCGGCTGAATGTGCAAATTTAGGGAATCAGTGTTCGAAATTGGAGAGAGAATGTTCGCTTTACGATCACGATCGTGAGGCATTAATGGAGTTCGGCAATGAGGCGGATGAGAGAGCGAAAGAGGCTGAAGTTAGGGTTAGTGAATTGGATGAAGAATTGAAGCAGATTACTGAAGAAGTTAACTACTACAAGCATCAATGTGAGATGCTTTCGGTGAGTATTTAAGTTTTTTTTTGCGCTTATTTTATTTGATTTTGTGTGTATAATTTAATTGCTAAGTTTGGTTGTAGGGTTTGATTGTTTTTAATCTGTAATGTTTCTGATAGTGTTATTATTAATCGGACTGTAGATTTTATAATTTGAGTAAAGAAGAAACCTTGGTTGGATTTTGGTGTAAATCTTGCTGGATGTCATTTTTGTGATTCTTACATTGTGCAATTTATTAATGTAGTGCAAGAATGATGTCGTCAGTTTGGAGTAAACCTTCAAAGTGATGTTCTTATGTGTGGTCAGTGCCAATTAGTGGTGTGCCCTTGGTCCAATATGCTTAGTTGTTTCGGGTTTTATACGGCTTTTTTAGTTCTTACGTTCTCGTACATTTCATAGTTGCTGATATACATTGGTCAATTGGACTTCAGTGGAGGTCAATCAATTTGTGGTAATAATTCTTACATTGTGTAATTTATTAATATAGTGCAAGAATGATGTCGTTAGTTTGGAGTAAATCTTCAAAGGGATGTCTTGATGTGTTCAGTGCCACTCAGTGATGTGCCCTTGGTTCATTTGCTTAGTTGTTTCGGGTTTTATACAATTTTTTTAGTTGTTATGTTCGCGTACATTTTGTAGTTGCTATTATACATTGATCAATTGGACTTAAGTGGATGTCATTCAATGTGTGGTAATAATGCCACCTTCATTTTTTTCATTTGAGTGGAAGGGACTGTTTTTGACCTTGTTGATATTTGTGTTGGATGGTCTGCTTTGTTGTATACTTCTGCGGATCACACCCTTCTCTATGTGTCCATTAGCTTCTTGTGTTTTTTTTAAAATAGGTATTTTTAGTCACTGAGTAGACTTTAGAAATTATCATTCTTGTAAGTGTTATCAAGAAATATCTTGACATAGAGATGATCAAGTCAATTTGGTAAAATTCAACATAGATTTTACATTTTCTGTGAATCATAGTATACATTCTGATTATATGGAAGATCACTCCTTTTTGCGGAATACTGGTACTCAAAATACTCAAAGAAACGAGATCCTTCGTTCTTCTTTTGCTGCTTCTCTAATAAGTGGCACATAACTACACTGATGCTAGATACATAATTGGATATACAGCTACTAGAATGTTTTAGTGTAGCTGCACTGCTGCAGTATACCTGATGTCAATAAAGATGCATTTTTGAATGTTTTGTTAAATGACATTCTTTGACACTGAATTTTGTCTTATTGAAGTTAGAATGTGATGAATAAGGATGTGTGTTGGCTACATGATATCTGTAATGTGAGAATTTAATTAGATTTATACTGATCGCAAGATGCTTTAGGTAGTAAATGGGAAATTCCCACACTTTGTGGAACCCATGTTTAGTTTGATGGTAATTTGCTAAACTGATCCGTAGCAGAATAATCATGAATTCATGAGTTAATTGTTGGCAAGTACTAACTTCATCAGAACATTTATTTTTCTGAAGGTTGATTCATCCAAGGATGATGGCTCATTGACTGAGCAAAAATTACTTAACACACTGGTTGCTAGTTTAGTAAACAAAAATGAAGTGGCGAAGACAGCATCAGCATTTCTGGAGGCTAATACTGGGGTTGAAACATGTCATGCATTGCTCAACATGTGGAATAGGTGAGCCTTCACAGTTTTGGCTCACGACATTGGTTACAATTGTATATGTTCTGTGGCTGCACTTAATCTAGTTTGCACTCTCCTGACTTACTCTCTTTGGTGAATCTCTCTATAACTCTATTTGACAGTTTGAGACCAGAAACCCTAAATATACTCTCATTGGCTGCTCATGTACGGACTCTGCAGAAGGACAAGGAACATTTAACAATCAATCTACACAGAGCTGAAGAAGAGGTAAGGAACTAAGGACGTCATAATAATATGAAGTATTTGTATATTTTTTTTGGAATTCTTAACTGGTCTGCATGAGATCCGAGGGTTTTTTTTATGGATGTTTACTGTATTGCTCCCTGTGTAGGTGAGGGTGCTATTTGAGGAAAATCATGTCTTGGATGATGAAAACAAAAGGCTGCTGAAGTTGTATAAATCTGAGAAGAAACATGCTAATTCAGGAGGGAAACATGATAGCAGTGCTAAAACTAAGGTAAGAGATAAGCTGTACTCTTATGCCGTTACTCAACAATCAAAGTAAGAAATTTGATCCGAAGATCTCATGCAGCTGTATTTGATTATTTTGCAGAACAATAAAAGAAAAACCAGCCCTGTGATGAGTAGTCCAGTTGACCGGAAGATTGATTTTAATGATATTGATAACCTTCGCTGTCCTCTTTCACCGCTTAAAGAAAACTCACCGGGCTCCAAATCCCATAAGATGTGATTGCAGTAGCAGCACCAACAACAGCAACAAAAACAACAATTGTAGATTGTTGAGTAGCACATAGAAATCTGAACATGTAACCTATCACCAATGCTGTAATTCATAGCGCTTCTAACACCACAATTCGAATTGAATTCTTGATCTTAGCTTATAAACATGTTTGTAAAAACTGATTACTAATTAGAGAAAGCTGCTTTCTCTTTCATCGATTTTCTGATGTATGATTCGTTCTATCATATAACAGCAGATTGTCAAAACGCTGTTATTTATTTTTTTCCATTTGAAGCAGCAAATCTTCAGGGTAAGGTGCCCCTTGATAGCCAACATTCCATATTGTCCTCATGTGCCACTAAATTACAAATCCTCACCTATCTATTTACCTGAAAGAGGGAGCCGCTAAGGGGTATGAAAAAAAAAAGATTATTAGAAGAGCATTAGAAGATATTTAAGCTCCAACAATAACACAAGTAATACAAAGGGCTTGTTCTGATTGAATGAACTGAATATTTTATGAGAGAAGGAAATTAAAACTGAACCGAACCGAACCGAAAATAATATAAAGAGAACATGCCTTAAATGAATTTGAAATATTATTTGGTAATGCCTTTTCTTATACTAGCACAGAGTACTAAATAAATTACTTATAAATCCAACATATTTATTTAAATGTGTTAATTCATATGATCATACCTATTAGAAACTCTTGGCACTAATCATTTTATTTGTACCTGTAACTAAACCTGGGCACGGGCCGGGTTGGCCCGCGTGCCGCCCGGCACGGCCCGCCGTTCGGAGCAGCCCGGCACGGCCCGAAGTCAAGCACGGCACGACACGAAGTTCGAATTCCGTGCCACGGGCCGTGCCACGGACACGGTGGAGAATTCCCAGGCACGGCCCGGCACGAGCACGAGCAAGGCCCGCCGTGCTGGCCCGCCGTGCTGGCCCGCAGGCACGGCCCGCAAGCACGGCCCGCGGGCCAACGGCTAGTTAAACGGCTATAAACGGCTAGTTTTTTGCCAAAAATTCTATAAATACTCACCTCCATTTCATTCCCAAATCACAAAATCACAATCTCTTCTTCTTATCTCTTATATTCTCTAAATCTCTAATAATCCTTATTTTCTTAAATTCTCTAATTATTCTCTTAAATTCTCTAATTATTTTCCTAATATCGGAAAAAATTAAAAAGTTCGTAATCGTAATTAGTGGAGCGTTGAAGCACGGTTGTAAGATCTAAACTAATCTTAAATTTATTATTGTTTTATTGTTATTATTAGAATAATCTTGTTTAATTATTATTGTTGTTAATTGTTAATTTGTTATTGTTGTTGTTATAATTGTTGTTATTAATTATTATTATTGTTACAATTGTTGTTATTATTTATTTTTGTTGTTATTGTTATTGTTATAGTTGTTGTTATTAATTATTATTATTGATATTTTTATTGTTAAAATTGTTGTTATTAATTATTATTATTATAGTTAACCACTTTTTATTAAAAAATTAATTGTTAATTATGGCATCGAACAACCCATCATCTAGGTCTAGGGGGAAAGACCGACTTATCCGTAGTAGTAGTTCTAGGGAACCACCAAATACAACGAGCCCCCAAATTACGAGTCAAACCAATGACCCCATTTACTTCCCCCCGGGCTATGAGCCATATAATACGTCGGGATTTCCAGCACCACCACTAAACCAATTTCCACAACCACCATACCAATTTCCACCTAATTATATCGGTAATCAACAAAACTATTGTTCTAGCCAAGGTAGCCAAGAAAGTACCCGAATTCCCTCCGGTTCTACTACCCCTTCTACTGCCACTCCCACTAGTCCCCCTACTAACCAATACACACATCATGAATGGTTAACCGAAACTGAGATGCTACTTTTGAAAAACCGAAGGAGTGAGGTATGGCGTTATTTTGTCCTAAGTAAAGATGGTGAACAATGGGCAAAATGTAAAACATGTAATAGTGTATTCACGGCAGTTACCAAAAACGGGACGGGACACTTATCTAGACACATGAAAGCTTGTGCAAAACCAGCTAGTGATCCAACCCAGCCCAAAATTTCCCAATTCCATCCATACGGCTTTACATACAACTATGAGAGGGATAGGGATGAACTAGGAAAAATGATAGTACACGCTGAACAACCTTTTCTTTTCTCGGAAAGTGACGCATTCAACACCTACATTAACAAAGCACTACAACCCCAACATAAAAGAATCTCTAGGAAAACCGTTCGTTCCGCAGCAATGAAAAATTTCCTAGAGTACAAAGTCCGGTTACAAGCCGAATTGAGTAACCTTAACTGTAGAGTATCTTTAACAGCCGATTCTTGGGATAGTGGTTATAAATATCACTATTTATGTGTGACTTGCCATTGGGTAGATGATCAATGGATGTTACAAAAAAGAATAATACATTTCAAAATGCTGGAATACCCACACACCGACATTAACATTGCTCACCATTTAATGCAAGCAATAGACGAATACAACCTTCGAGATAAAATGATGTCTATGACTTTTGATAATGCAACCTCTATGACATACACAGCTAATCTTATCAAACAAAACTTAACCGATGTACTATTAGACGGTGAAGCTCTTCATACTAGATGTGTTTGCCATGTACTTAACTTATGTGTACAGGATGGAGTTCGGGCAATTGGCCCATACTACAGCAAAATCAGAGATGCTATTATGTCTATTAATAGCTCTAACATGAGATACCAAGAATGGAAGAGTTTTCTAAAACAACAAAAGATAAGGGTAATAAAAATTAGAACCGATTGCCCAACTAGGTGGAATTCCACCTATGACATGTTAACAAAGGCAATTGAGTACAAGGGCCCGTTAACATTATTTTACAACCAAAAATTTCCACAAAATGCTTTGTATGATGATGATTGGAATAACTGTGAAAGATATATGCAATTTTTACAGTTATTATATAACATGACGTATTGTTTTTCTACTGTTTACAATCCTTGTGCTCAAAACTTTCTTTCTAATGCATGCTTACTCGCCCAACTTTTCGCTGATCATCGCGATCAAAGTGATTATGATCAGTATCTTCCAGCAATGGAAAAAAAGTGGCGTAAATATTATAGTCAGATTCCTTTGATTTATATTTTTGCTTCCATATTAGATCCTAGGCAAAAGTATGAAAACACATTTATGTTAGTTGACATTTACTTTCAATGCATGTTTCTTGACGATGATGTAGAAAACTATAAGACTAATGTGAAGGATCAGTTTTTTGCTTTATATAGAGTCTATGAAGCCAAATATGGCACCGTTCCTCGCTCAGGGCCTTCCCAACCATCTAAAAACGTAAGTAAGAAGGCCAAACATTTATTTTCACAAGCTACTAACTTGATTTCAAGGTTTTCAGGTGATTCATCAATCAGGAGAACGCAAAGCGACGTCTCGGAGTTGCAGATGTACCTGAGTTACGACTTCACCAAAGGCATGGACGACGATGAGATAAACAGCCTCGACCTCCTTGCATGGTGGAAACAACAAAGCTCGAAGCATCCAACTTTGGCGGCAATGGCACGAGACATTCTTGCTATCCAAGTTTCCTCCGTCGCCTCCGAACGAGCTTTCAGCGCATCCGGAAGGGTTTTAGACGATAGAAGAACAAGTCTAAAACCCGAAACACTAGAAATGTGCGTGTGTTTCAAAGATTGGTTGGATGCGGAAAATCGCTCACAAGACCGTTCTTACGACCACAACGACAACGAAGAAGGAACCTCCGCTTCCGGTTCGGGTTCGGCTAGTTCCCAATCTATGCAACTAGCCGATGACCTTGAAGGCGAAGGCGAAGACGAAGACGAAGACGAAGACGAAGACGAAGACGAGCAAGAAGAAGGAGAAGAAGAATAGACAATTATTGTATATTGTACGATTTTAAAAATATCAATTTTATCATTTTCCAATTTTTGTTTAATACCATCATTGTATGATTTTTATCATTGTTATCATTGTACAATTTTCTCAACTCAAGTAATAATAATATAAAGTACGCATTATTCACATCCAAAGTCCAATTTGCCTTTTTTCCCCGTTTTGTTACAATTTGTAAATTCATATTAAAAAAAAATAAAATTATACTAATTACTAATAAATCATAAACATTAAATTTTAAAGTAATAGTATAAAGTAAATATATAAATATAAATATTGAATATACAAATTATAAAACATAAATATTCAACTTATAATTATAAATTCATAACTTAATAACTTATAACTTATAAGTTATAAACTTATAAGTTACCTTATAAAACTTATAATTATAATTTTATAACTTATATACATTATAAACTTATTAATTAATAATGTTGTCATTAAAAAAAAAAAAAAAAAAAAAAAAATTGAAAACTGCACCAGCCCGCGCGGGCCAGCCCGCAGCCCGGCACGTGGCCGGCACGGCACGAGCTCGCCAGGCACGAGGGCCGTGCCGTGCCGTGGGTTGGCCTGTGAAAATGGCCGGCACGGCACGGCACGAAATCCTGGGCCCGCCGGCACGACCGGCACGGCACGAACCAGCCCGCGGCCCGCCAGGCACGGCCCGCGGCGGCCCGGCACGGCACGGTGCCCAGGATTACCTGTAACTCATGTTAGTTTCAAGTTAAAAATCTCAATACCTACTCAGCCTATATATAATTAAACATGTAGTGTCATACTGTCATGTTAATAATTTAATCTAAAATAAGTCATAAACCCTTGATACTAATTCGATACTTTTTTTCATGGTTGATTCATCGTTTAGTCATATCGTGTCAGCTTTTGCCAGCTCTAAACAGATTATTAAATTGTAATATAAGTAAGATTTGACCCAATTGATTTCTTTATTTATTTTTGGAGCTTTGTAAGTCAAATGAGATGCCTTTTTTTTTTTTTTTTTTTAAGAAAACAGAAAATGAGATGATTAATTTGGGAAGAATGAGCATTTATAGAGTTTTAGCATAAAAAAGAAATCTTTAACTTCCTTATCCACTATCCTTCTTCCTCTTTACCCAGAAAACTCAGTCACTAACAAAAAAATGGCGCAACTCAATTCTCTGTGCTTCGCTTCACCAATAACCTCTTTCTCTCTCCTCGAATCCCATTCTTTCTCCCCTTTTCCTTCTCTTTCTCTCTCCTCAATTAAACCCTCTTTCCTCTCTCTCCGCCGCAATTCCCGCTTCACACACATTTCCCCTTCTTCTTCTTCTTCTTCTTCTTCTGCAATTCTCGCCATTGAAAACCCATCTTCAGAATCCCCAGAAAAAGAGATATGTCCCACCAGATTGCTGGCTTCAAATGTCCCTTGGACAACAACTGCTGATGAAATTCGTGCTTTGTTTCAGAACTATGGCACTGTTGTCGATGTTGAGGTTATTTTTGTTATACCCTTTAGTTTTTATTGTATTGTTCTTCATTTTTTATTTTCTGGGTTTTAATTTTGGGATTAATTGAGGAATATTTTGTGGGTTTGGATTGAAGTTGCCGATGCATAATAAAGCGAGGAACAGGGGATTGGCTTTTGTTGAAATGGGTTCTGAGGAAGAAGCTGCTCAAGCTCTTGCTAAGCTCGAAGCTTTTGTAAGAAACACTGTTATTGTGACCTAATTTTTTTTTATTTTTTTTCGCTTAATTGTGAATAAAGTTTAAATTGTGGATTAAGTGTTGAGGTGAAAGTGAAACTGTGAAAGACAAAATTGTGAAGAACTTACAGTTTTGGGTTATGTTAGGGTCTGACTTTTCTTAGCATTATTGTAATTTGTCTTGATGAAGTAATCCAATGCAATTTTGGGAGTTGTCTTGACAAAACTGGTTGATTTTATCCACATTTTTTTTTTCAAGTAAGGGATGATCAATTGCAATCAGTCCTTAATATTGAACTTGTAATGTTATTATGAGTATGTTATAGAATTAGGATATAATCTTATATGATACTCCGTATTGTGAAAATAGCAAAAAGGTCATGGATTATTTTGTTTAGAGTGATTGTCGTCTTTCATAACTATGGGCGCCTGGGCGGACCTACAAGGCCTTCATGGTGAGTATTGAGTAGTCAACTGTGTCCCTGTTATTTCAAAGCTAACTTCAAGTAATATGAGAAGGGAAAAGAAATTTTCATTAATTTTGAATTCTTATAAGTTTCAAATAAACTGAAGGTACAACTTTTGATGGTAGAGGATTATTATTTCGATCTGCCAAGGAAGTTATAGTTGCTGTCTTGATAGTAAAGAGGAGTCATTGTTATTGGAGATTGTTTATTTTGGTTTTGGTTTCTTTCATATGGTATATTGGCAAACATGGATGTCCTATTATAATGAGCTTGTAATGTTAATACGAGTATGTTATAGCATTAGGATACATTCATTGTGAGTAAATGAGATAACTCGATTTATGATGTTCCCATTAATGTGTTTGTATTTGTGATGAAACTATAGAACACCACAGATTAAACATGCTGTCCTATTCCAATTTCTGTTCAGGGCTTTCTTCTTTGTTGTTAAGTCCTTTCAGCTTTCTTATCCTGGCCTATATGGTTATACCTATAATTCTTTTCAAAGTTCCTAACTTCAGCTTGTGATATTATGATACATCTTCATGCATGCTGTTTTGCAGGAGTATGAAGGTCGAACTCTAAGGCTAGCTTATGCTACGCCAAAGAAGACGAAAGCATCTCCTCTTGCGCAACCTAAGCCACCTGTTGTGTACAATCTGTTTGTGGCAAATTTATCTTATCTTACAAGGTCTAGAGACCTTAAGGAATTTTTTCAATCTGGTGGTAGTGAAGTTGTTAAAGCTGAGGTCGTATTTAATGAAAACCCTAGAAAATCATCTGGATATGGATTTGTTTCTTTTAAGACTAAGAAAGAAGCCGATGATGCGCTCATTGCTTTTGACGGAAAGGTATAACTCAGTATTGCTATTGTATCTCTTAGCTACATCTATTAGTTTCACTCATGTTTCCTCCCTTTCTTTCTTTCTTGAATTTTCCTTCGTATTGAATTCTTTTTACTTCTGAATGTTGGTTTCTGTTTGCAGGAGCTGATGGAGAGACCAATCAGACTAGCACGTAGCAATAGATTTGTAAAACTTGAATCAGAATTGAATTCCGTCCCAGAGGATGGTGAAGATGATTCTAGTCATGATTCAGAGCAAACAGAGGCAGTTGATAGCTTGTAATAGTGAAGAATTGGAGGCACTATCAATTTTGTGTTTGCGTCAATTCTCTTGTTGAGAAGGTAAGCTCGTAACTGAATGCTTCAAAAATAATATATAGATGTCATTCAAGTGCAAATCTTTTCCTCGATAACTTGATTGATATTCTATTGCCTTTCGCTTTCATGATCCCTGTTTTATTTATGTTATTTTAGAATATTTCCTAGTTTCTTTTAACTAGACATCTCCCTTCCTACCATGGGTTTGATTGGTTACTTGCTACTTTACCAATTCTTACCCCCCTCCTCCCCCTTTGTTCTGATTGGGTTCAGAAACACTGTCAAAGTTAGAAACTCTTATCCAAAATTAGAACCTCTTATCCACAAATTCAGTCCTGCTGATGTAAAATTAGAACCTCTTATCCACAAATTCAGTCTTGCCAAGGGTACACCATTCTTAGCTATTATGCCAATTATTAGTGCGCCTTGAGCTTTTTTGTACATTAATCTATTTTTGCCAATAATTGTGAGCTTAAAGAATATCTTTCCAAAAATTGTGGGGATGAATGAAGCTGGAGAGAGAGGCAGGGGTAATGGTCGAAGAAACAGAATTTCTAACAGAGATGGGATAGGGTCATAAGGTCAAGAGGGAGAAAAATAAACAGAGAAAATGGTTTGTTAGGGGAGATATCATCATTGGCGTGTGGGTAACCTGCCCAATGATGGTAGGTAAATAAAAAAAATGGGTTTTGTTGGGAAGTGTAGATAGTTTGTGATTTGATATATTGGCAAGTCCTGAATGAGGTATTGAACTGAATTATGGTATGCTAATACCTGTTGCGGTTGGGGCTATAAAATGGTCTTGTGTCATTTAGTCATAAGTTCCTGGTGGTCAAGTGTTCAAGGTTTAGGATGTCTTAGTAAATGTCGAGATTGTTTGCCTGCCCTGTTACTTCATTAGTGTCCCATTAGATGAGAGTGGGAGTTTTAGCAATCGAACCAGCAACTTTAATGGAACCAAGCAGGGTATCATTGGAGACTGTTTAGGAGAATTTTGTCAAGAAATTGTTCCAATTATATAGAGGGGATCAAGAAAATTGTGCTCTATACCTGTGGCTTGTGTCATTTATTGTCTTGATTTTTCAAGCAAAATGTTTTCTCCCTGTTTTTCCCGCAGATACTTTATTGGATCTAGAAAGTATTTCACAGCTTGAGTGCATTAAAGATAGGTGTTGCATAGCTGAAGTTTGGTATAGTACCTTCTGTTCTATACTATTATCTATAACCTATATGCATTCAGGCGATGTGGAGAAATTGCTTTAGCTTTAGAGCCAGAGAAGCTTTTCTGTTTTTATGTTAGACTTTCTGAAGTTGTTTGAAAAGGGCCTTCCAACAATGATTTATGGCCTTTACCAGTGGCAACTTATTCATGATCAAGTGCTATGGTTCATTTGGTGTCAGTTATTAGTTGAGTTAACGATAGTAAATATATGCAAATTTATAGAGAAAGTTCTATGTTTATGTCCATCGTAATGATTGTCTACTCTTGAATGATTACATTTCTTCAATTTTATTACCATCCATTATTAAGGTAGTAATGGAAACTTATGCAACACACCCACTGCCACCTTAGCACATACTGACATACTGATGGGCTAATGTCGTATCACCTAATCAAAAGTATTACCTAAATCCTCTAAGTAAAGTAAATAGGGAAGTAGGGTCGAATCCTCGGGGAAACAAGTCTTTCTATTTCTAATTAATTATAGCAATCTAAATTACTAAGTAACCAATTATTAATATCGAATGAGAACTAAACTATTGAGATTAATGGTAGAGAGAAATCAATGAATAAAATACCTAGAGCATAGGTTCACCAATAAATAATACTCCAAGGTAAAATACAATAATCAATCATCAATGCATTAATTCATCAGATCATAAAGGGCTTTCGCTACGTATTACAATCACAGAATTAATTTACCGATATTAAATCGAATCTCTCGAATCTTGACTTAACTTAAGCCTATTGAAACTAAGCCTAAACATCAATTCTTATCTCTCGGATCTCGAATCAATATTGTTAAACTCATACATAATAGACCTGCGCAAGTCTAATTGCATAGCATTAAATCAATCAATAGGAAATTAATCAAGCATTAACAATCAGCAACAATAAATTACCCCTTCATATTATTAATGGATCCCTACAAATCATAGAAAGAAAACTACTCACGCATAATTAAATCTAAACTAATCAAAGCAGTTAAACAAGACATGATGAAGTAAAGAAATCAAATTACTGAAAATAAGAGAAGAAATCATTACCAAAGTTAACGGAAATAATGGATTGAATTAAGAACAAAGTTGTAGAGTTGTAGAGAGAGAAAAACAATGAGAGAATTCTAATTTGAAAACTAAGTAGAGAGAAAAAACCTAAGATAAAATGTACTAAACTTGCTTAACAAAAACGTATTTATATTAAAATTAGAAAATCCTAAGCTTAAACGAACTAAATCGACGCCTAATCTTCTTCCAGAAACACGCGCCTCGCCTCGCCTCGCCTGCCCGGTCGGGCGCGCCTTTTTTAATCTCTATGCTTGACAAGGCAAAGCTTGTTATTCTTCTTCTTCCACCCCGCCCGGTCGGGCGCACCTCTAAGGCGAGGGCGGCCTGATCGGGCAAGGCTCATGGGCGTGGGATTGGACTTCGATTGAGCTTCGATTTTTCGGCCCAATCCAGATTTCCTCTTTGGAGCTTTAATACTTGGTGTCTAATGCCTCGTATCTCATATGTCGAGCCCTTAATCACCGGTTCGATGACTCTAACCGATCTTGGGCTATGAAAAGTGGTCGTGCTCCTGTAATTGCTTCATAAAAATCAGATGGGGGAAAATGCTCTAAATGTGCAATTCCCTTCAAAACTCAACTAAAACTACGAAAACACTAAAAAACACCAACTAGTAATAAAAAAGGCTCTAAAGAGCCAAAAAACACTACCAATTATGACCAAGGGACGGGGTAAAATACTATATTAAATAGACATATCGAACTCCCCCAAGCCAAACATTTGCTTGTCCCTATGCAAAGAGATCATCAATGAATACATAAAACATGTCTCACCCCAAATAATCAAAATCAAGAGCAACCAATTCAAAGGCAAATCTAACAAGCATGCATCAACATCAACCAATCTCATCCACCATCCAATCACTCATCCTCCCTAACAATTGTCAAATAGAGCAAACCACAAGAGCATATAGAATTCAATACTAGTGCTCACACACTCAACTCTCATTTATGTGGCGAGTAAAAGATGTACTCGATCGCTTTCTATCCCAACACTTACAATTTCACTTATAAAAATATAACAATGTTACACTTGAGTGAATAACAAACTTTAACCTTCAAACTTGATTTTTTTTCATTGAAACTGAACTTTTTTTTTTTTTCCTCTCTCTCTCTCTCTTTTGATCAACCTTCATTTAGAACATTTGAACATCCAACAATTTTTTTCTTTTGTTTTTTTTTTTTCCCTTCATTTATTTTTTCTTCTTTTTCCTTGAGAACTTCTTTTTCACTATCATGCTTTATTTTTTTTTCACAAGAAATTCAACTCTCAAAATCATCAAAAATAAACCACAAAGATGAACAATTACAACTTCTCAACACCATCCAAATGTGTAAACAATAAGCACACTACAAACTCCCTCACCTCACTCACTAATAGCTTCCCCAAGCCAAGTATGAGACTAGTAACCAATGGGACAAATCGACTTGTAATGTGGCTAACAAACAACAAAAAGTCAAGGCAACAACATGGGTATCAAGAAGGGAACAAATGTATCTAAAATCGTCTGTAGGTCACCTAAAAGAACAAACGCCTTCGTCCTCCTCAATGTGCATAATATTGAGTCATACAAACATTACTCAAAGTTGCAAACCAATACTCAAATTCATTGACATACCAGGGACTAACACATTTTCCTTACCAAATTAACTAGTCAAGCACTATATTCACAAGTAGTTGGGCAATATTGACGCATGTTAAGTAGTGGTGTTTTAAATTACCCGACCCGACCCGCTTTTCCGATGACCCGACTTGATTTAGTCGGGTATTTTTTTTTAAGAATTAGCGGGTTGGGTACCCGACCCGGGATTTTGGGAGATTTTCGGGTCGGGGCATGGGTCGTGTTGTGAGAGACGCGGGTACCAGCTGACCCGATTTGTTATTTTTTTTTCAGCAGCTTTTATCTACTTTTAGGGTTTGTCTTATTTTCATTGTTGTTCTCTCTCCTCCTTCTACATACTTGGGACAACCGTATCTTCTCATTTCCTCCCAGTTCTTCAATTTTCAATTTCTCTCCACTCTACATTCTCTCCTCCATCTTATTCCTAGATTGTAGAGTTATTATCTCAAAACTCTTCAATCCTTCTTACATCTCACAAATCAATTACAATCGATTGCAACCAAGATGTCATACGAAAAAGTCCTAAACTATCTCAATTATCTATAGATTTAGACATAAGCAACGACTATCAAAGTACACGACACACACAGCCGCGCCACAAGTGCTGTAATTCCGTGTGTTGACTGCGGTGGTGGTGCTTCTGAGTGCAGCGGTGTTTTCAGATCTCCTTTGGTTTTATCAGGGTTTTTTTTTTGTTTGTTTGTTTGTTTATATAAATAATTATAATTGTGGGTTTGTTAAATATTAATGTGTAAAACAAATTTGGGATTTTTGGGTCCTAAATTAACGAATTTATTTGATTTTTTTTTTGGAATCTTCTTGTCAATTACTTGATTTGGCTTGTTATGAATTTTCTTTACGAGTAGAATGAGTAGTAGTCAAATTCAATTTGGGTTGGAATGAGTAATAGATCTACTAGTAATAATTCAAGTAATTTTTTTTTTTTTTTTTACAATTTCTTTTACAGCCTTTAATGACTACGATCTTAATCCTCAAAGATAGAGTAATTTTGTTCCCAATTTAGCTTAAAAAAGAAATTAAAAAATCGGGTACCTTATGACCCGACCTGAGAAATTCGAGTACCCGAGTTTCTCGGGTCGGGTTATAGGCCGAC